AGTATTGTACTATTACTATGTGTATATATATATATATATATATATATATATATAGCACGAATTTATCAGTGCAGCCACTTCTTGGCCTGCCCGTTTCAAAATCGAAAATTGTCATAGTCTTTGAGAATGTCGCCCAAGTCCGTAAATTGCGATGCAAAGAAATCATTCGGCAAGTCGCTCAAGTCATGCGACGAGACCAGATCCATCATGGACGTCGAGTCACTCGCCGACTGCTGCGAGTGCATGCTCCCCGCGCCGCCGCCGCCGAAACTATCGTCGTACGGCTGCGGAGTGTTCATCTGGCTGTTTATTTGAAACGATGGCTGCTGCACGCCCGGTGTAAACGGGCCATCGCCGCCACCGCCGCCGCCGCTGCCTCCCCCACCCATGGCCATTTCCGCTAGCGCCGCGGCGGGCGGAAACACGGCGGGCTGCTGGTCATTTATGACGGGGGGGAGCGATATGGGCATATGGCTGTTTGGAGTGGGCGTGCCGACGGGCGGATGGCTGCCGTGTCGAACGTCGCCAAATTGGTCGCCACCGGCAGCGGCGGCGGCGGCGGCGGCGGCGGCAGCGGCGGGCGCGACGGAGCCGGAGCGGGGCGACTGCTGCGCCGAAGTGTGGCTGGAGACGCGGAAGCTCTTAATCATGTGCTGGACGCGGTGCAGCTTCTGCTTGAGGGCGCGGGTCACGGGGGAGTGGACCGAGAGGTTCTGGACGAGCTCCATGGCGGCGAGCACGTCCGGTAGGTAGCCGACGCGGTACTCGGCCTCTGCGTAGCACAGCAGCAGCAGCAGCGACGCGAGGGCCGTCTCGAGAAAGTGGTTAAAGGTGCGCTGCTGCGCGTGGTAAATGTCCGTCTCGCGCGCGAGCGCAATGAGGATCCGAATCGTGTCCTGCGACGTCTCGGCCAGCACGTTTGTGGTGGACGTGTCGAAGCCGCCGCCCGTCTGCGACATGGCCGACTTGCGGTGAATGACGATGCGCATCTGGTTGCAGCGCAAGTACAGGACGAGGCGCAGACGGTACTCGCCGCGTTTTTCCCGCGCGGGGTCGAACTTGTCCTGCAGGCCGAGGAACTGGAGTCGTTTGGGAATGTTTTTTTGAAACTGGGTGACTTGAAAGTCGAGCAGATTCCGGGTGGCGGCCAAGGCGGTGACGGTGGCGGATGGTGAGATGGATGGCTGGAGGATGGAGCGCCGGACTTCGGCAGAGATTATGCTGTACTCAATCATTTGCCTCAGATATGTCGAGGAAAGAGAGTCGTCCTGGAAAAGATGATGTCAGTGCCGGATGAGGGGCATGGCTGCAGGAGCAACTCACTTTAAAATGCGGTTGCCGATGGATATCAGAGTCGTGGACCGAAAATGGTAAGCCCGTGCCAAAGCCCCATCGTCGATCCAGCGTGTATACAGTCCAGTAGTACTTTTCGCCAACATCCTTGAACTGGTCCAGCGTTGTCAGGTTGGGTGCATCTTCGATTTTTTGGGCTATTATTTCGTGCAATGAGCGAAGTACATTGCCAATGGCCCTCCACGCCAGCATTTCCTTGTCGTTTAGGAAAAAGAAGATGCTCTGCGATCAAGTCAGCGAATGAAGTAGGCCCGGCCAAGACCGACGATACATACAGCAAGGATTATAATGGATAGATCAGACTTGTTGACGGCGCCAAGCTGCGTCCGGAGCATGGCAGTGCTGAACAAGCTCTCGACAAAACTGTTGGCCACTGGCAATGTCCCCGGATCAACAATACTCGAGGCAACAGAAAGAACCAGCGACATGATGTCCTCGATGGCGGCTTGGTCTGGCGGAGCGGGATTGGTCTCGCTGGGCGGCGTCGATGCTCTGATGCGATGCCGCAGGACCTCGAGGTCCAGGAACGGGTACTGCAGGGCGACCTCTTCCTCGTAAATGTCAATGATGCGTATCCAAAGCTCCTTATCCAGCGGCGCAAAGGTGCCCGGGGCCGCGCCCGTCTTGCGGTGGTCAATGAGCTGCTGCATAATGTGCGAGCCAATCATGAGCTGTTGCTGGTGGCCGCTGCCAAAGAGGGACCGGCCCGGGCCCGGGCTGAGGTCGCCGAGGCGCTTCTCGGCGAGACGGAGGTAGTAGTCGGAGCTCCCATGACGGGTCTGGGCGCTGGCCTCGGCGCTATTCTGTGAGCGCGGGGGTGCGGGTGGTGGTTTCTTGACGCGGAATGAGTCTCGCTCACGGGGCTTTTGAGGCTCATTTGTGACCTGCGAGTCTCGTTTTGGTTTGCTGGATATGCTGAATTAGATATGTGAGCGCACTTATAAAGGATGGGGCGAGATGAATAAAAGGGGAAATGGGATGAAAAATCCGAGGACAGATGGACAGGGTCGCGTGAGATTGGTCATGACGTACGAAGTCTCATCTGTAGTCTGGAAGCGTGTGGCGCGGCCGTAGACACACATGATGTCGCTGTCGCGGCATCTCTTGCAGGGCCGCTCGCCGCTGCATTTTGTTTTCCTTTGCTTGCACGTTCTATAAGGGCAAAGATTAGAGAGTTAGCGATGCGGCTGGTGATGAGGCCTTGACAGGCGGTTGACGTGTTGTTGGCGTGAGCTGAGGGCTCATGACAAGACAAAGCAGTTCTACATACACACTATACGGGGGTCAGCGGGAGATGCGTCAATTGGCCAGGAGTGCGAGGTGCTGCCAGAAGATCGGTCATACATACCAAGCAATGGCTACATAGGGCGAGCGCTTCTTGCGTGACTTGGAGGGCGGGGAGCCGAGAGGTTGTGAAACGGGCGAGGGCATCTGAGCGACTGGTGACTGGGATCGCATGGTGACGGCGGGAGGTGACGGCACTGGTGGTGCTGGTGGTGGCGGCGACGATGCCGGCGACGGTCGGGTATGGAGGGATTAGAGGGTATGAGCATGGATGCAGCCATTTACCAAGAGGCATGCGACAGCATGCAGGGTTTGGGCGATGCGAGGCGACAATGGGGAGATGGACGCGGTTTTTAACGGACCAAAAAGACAAGAAGGCAAGATTTTTGCCATCTCCAGGCGCAGCAGGCTGGCTGGCTGGCAGCCAAGCAGCTAAAGGTCACCAAAACGGTTGCGCGCGGGCAACAAGTGGAGTGGTGCTGGGCGGGGCGGGGATCGGCGGCGGCATCGACAACTGATTTGAACAAGTTTTTGGCCCAGCGACAGCCAAAGCATCAGCAAGCAGGTACTCTGGTAGCGGATCTCACGATGGCAAGTCTGAGTCGTGGCGTAATCTGGCATTCTGCATTTTATCTAGGAAAGTATCTAATCGTAATTTCAAGCAGCAACGAAGGTAGCAGTGATTTGGTTGTGATTCTACTCTGGGTTGTCATAGACCCACTATAGACAGTCAAATTACAGCGCATTCATCGCTGTAACTTGCCGTTGTTACAGCCGTATTTACAGCCGTTTTCTAGGTCCCTTAAGTGCATCCAGCGCCAACTTGGCTGCCTGCACCGGGGCCGGTAACAACGCTGTTTGTCTCTCTGCTGCTCGTTATCGTGGTGCGGGGGTGGAGATGTGAACAAAGCTCCAGCCAGGCTTGCTCAACAGCGCTCAGACTTGCCAACACAACTAACCCTTTTCCAGTCAATCATGATACAAATTTTCGACAATTTCCAATCTCTTTTCCCAGCTCCGAGTCCTCTTACACAAACGTGCTCACATCCTCCGTACTCTGTGCAACTATCTCGTTACTACTCCTGAGGGCTCTGGTCGCACCGCAGGTCCCCAGCAACGCGGCCAACGACCGACCGATCTACAAGTTTGATAAACAAACTTGGGCCTCGCAAAGCAGCTCTCGGGACATTTGAACGCTTGCATCAGGTTATGTCTCGGGAATCTATGCTCTCGAAAACAAGACGCTTTCATAGCTTGTTTTGCACCAGTATATTTCTTCTTACCAGTAGTCCTCTTTTCTCCAAGCCCTCCTCCCCCTCTTCAGTCTAAAAAGGACCAAGGCCACAACACCAGCCAGCTTCTTCAAATGCCGGCTGAATCAGAATGAAGATTGTAGCATCGTAAGCGGCCAGCGGCTGCTCCTTACATTAGCTGTAAAGGACCGTAGCCTGCCAAACGTAGACAAGTCTATGCAAACTGTCGGGCCAAGTTGTTTTGTTCTTCCGATCCAGCCGGGTCCAGCGCTGCCGATTTTGCTCGCTGTTGATTATCAGATGAACGCTCGGCCGCAAATGGGACCGACCCATCATGGTGGAGGCACAAATCGATTCTTGGATCAATCAGTGACGGAATCGGTGAAAAAAAAAAAAGAAAAAGAAAGAAGAGAGAGAAAAAAAAAGCTCGGACGACATGATTGCTTGGCATCTGCCGTGGCCGCCAAGTCTTCGGATGTCACGGAGCTGATGAGGGCAGTGTTTTATAGATTTGCGGGGGAGGGGTTTACCGTTCAGCCGATAAGATGTAGGGCTGAGTAAGATTGTAAGATTTAGTTGTGGATAATCCCGCGTGCGGATGGTACTTCAATTACTTTTTATAGTAGGCAGATTTGGTGACTTTGTATGCTCCCTAGAATACCGTTTCATGCTGACCGTCTAGTAACCGTTAACCTTGGGTGAGTTGAAATGTACAAAACGAAAATAGTGGTGAGTGTCTAATAAATCATGACCATGTGCCAAAAAAATGCGCCGTTCCAGTTATGTCTGTCCCTTTATATGCCAATCAAACGAAAAAAAAAAAAAAGAAATCATCTGGTATCAAGTTTTTTAGATTCACGTCACTTGCTCAATCACGCGGCAGCCATTTCAATCTTCTTGCCCTTGACAGAGTTCCAGGGCGTAAAGGCGGCACCGACCATGGACAGCGTGGCAAGCGCAACGGCCACGTAAAAACAGTTGGTAATGGCCGTGTTGTAGGCGGAGAGGACGACGGCGAGCGCCTCGCCCTCAAAGTGTTTGCGGGCGCCGGTAGCGCCGACATAGTTGACGGCGTCGAGGGTCAGTCCGGGAATGTTGGCGGCGCCAATGACCTCCTTGAGCTTGTTCTGAAAGACGTTTTGGGCGACGCAGATGAAAAGTGCGCCGCCGAGGGTCTGCGAAAAGATGATGATGGCGGTGCCGACGGCGACGTCGGCGGCCTGGAGCGAGGCCTGCATGGCGACCATGGGCTGCTGCATGCCGAGGCCGACGCCAAAGCCAAAGATGCACTGGTAGCCGATCCAGGCGTTGCGGCCGGAATCAATCTCGAGGGTGGATAGGAGGCCGGCGCCGACGGCCATGAGGACGGCCGAAGCAATCATAAAGGGGGTGTAGTATCCGAGCGCGCTGACGAAGCCGCCGGAAATAATGGACAGCACGACGAGTCCGAGAATGAGCGGCAGGCTCTTGATGCCCGAGTTGACGGCGGAGCTGCCTTGGATGGACTGAAACCAGATGGGCAGGTAGTAGACCATGATGAAAAAGGCGGCGCCGAGACAGACGACAAAGGAGGAGCAGGCCCAGACGGTGCGGTTCATAAAGATGCGCGGGGGCACGGTGGCCTTGTCCTTTTTCCAGATTTGAATGGCGATAAAGGCGGCAATGAGGACGGCAAAGACGACAAAGAGACCGATGATGCGGCCGTTGCCCCAGGGGTAGCGCGAGCCTCCCCATTGGAGAGCGAGGAGCAGGGAGACGATGCCGGGGATGAAGCAAAAGGTGCCCTCGAGGTCAAAGGAGAGTAGCTGCTCCTTGAAGGACGTGTTTTTGAGCTGGGACTTGGTGTCGGGCAGGTGCAGAAAGAGAATGATGAAGAAGACGGTGACGGCGCCAAAGGGCAGGTTGATGTAGAAGCACCAGCGCCAAGTGACCTTGTCGGTGAAAGCGCCGCCCATGAGGGGACCAGCGACGGAGGCGAGGCCGTAGACGGCGCCGATGAGGCCCATGTAAACGGGCCGCTGGCGCAGAGGCACGCTCCGACTGACGATGAGGAGGGCGCCGGAGAAGATGCCTGCGGAGCCGAGGCCGGCAATGGCGCGGCCGATGATGAGCCCGAGCGAGGTGGGCGTGGCGCCGCAGACGAGGGAGCCGACTTCAAACAAGAGGATGGCAAAGAGGTAGACCCACTTGACCGAGTAGTAGGTGTAGAGCTTGCCAAAGATGAGCTGGACGGCGCAGGTGGTTAGCAGGTAGGCGGCGCCGTACCAGCCAATGTCTTGGACGGAACCTCGAAACTCGTCGGTGATGCGCGGGATGGCGGTGGCGATGATGGTGTTGTCCTACGTCATGTAAGCTAAAAGCTGATTCGTGAGGCTCAATGACAACTTTTTGGTTGTTTCACTTGGAGGGAGCCGGCAAAAGAAAAAAAAAAAGTGTAGACGTACCAAGGCAACGCAAAAGACGGACAAGCAGAGAGCAATGGTAATGAGGCCAAGCTTCCAGGCGACGGGGTACTCGACGCCGTCCTCGTCCTCGTCGGGGTCTGCTGGCGAGGCATCATGGTTTGCCGCGGCTTTTTCGTCGTCGACACTGATTTTCTCAGTGGTTTCAGCGGCGGCGGTGGTGGGCTGCTTCTCGGAGACGACATTGTGCAGCGAGGCCGACGCGGGTGTGCTGTTGAGGGTGGTGGTGGCCTTGTGGCGCGAGCCAATCGAGCCAACCTCGGTGGCGCTGTCTTCGGCGGTGCCCATTACAGCTGACCGGTGTGTCTGTGTGTTTAGAAATTGCAGCGAACTTTGAATTGCGAGTTATTTTGCTGGATTTGGAAGGATTATTCTTTCAAAGTCTCAACTAGAAGTGTGATCTGCGTCGTCGAGGCGCAACACCCCGTTTGTTGTCTTGAATCCAACGACGATGAGTAAATGGAGGATTATCGACAGAGGACGGGGAGGCGAGATCAGATGAAGGTTAAGAGATGAAGAAATGCCAAGAAGATCAAGGTGAAAAGAAGAGAGTATAATAAGTTAAAAAAAAAAGAAAAAAAAGAAAAAGTGCCACTCTTGAGTAGACGGGGTAATAAAGGAATGAAAAAAAAAAAAACATGCGCAATCGTACTCGCAAAGCTGGACTGGGTTGTCGGGTCTGTCAGTACTCCGAAGTCCGCGAAGCTTGCTGACCTTGTCTCCGCCGCTAGAGAGCCTTGCGCAAAAGATGTGCCTTATCTTAACTAGTTATTCGTTGCCAGCAAAAAAAAAAATTTACCCTAAATTAACCTGCTTATGATGCCAACTAATCACCGGACGGTTCTGTCCAGGTGCTGGGGGAAGCGAGCTAAAAGCGAGCTAAAAGCTGGGACGATCAGGATCAAGGACTGGGCAAGGCAAGCAAACCAGACGGAAGCAGTCGGGTCCGAAGCGTGAAGTGGGTCTTTTCCTTTTCCCTCCTTGCTTTTTTCTTCTCCTTCTCTTTCTCGCTTCCCCGATCCCTTGCGGTGTCCCGATGCCCTGCGGTGGGGATTTTTTTTACTCTAGTTGTCCTGGGTTGGTGCGGCTGCGGACGTGATTGCATTGTGACGAGGAGAGCATGATGCTGCTGCCCATCAAATGTTACTCACATGGGCAAAGAGAGTACAGTCATATCTGAAAGATCGGCGGGCATCAAGTGACTCTGCATTCCGACAACTACAAAGTAACTATTATGGAAGACGACAGGACCCCATTTATCAACAAACTGACTCACATTTTGCTCACGCTCTCTCTCCTGGAGCAAAAGCAAAGCTGGCAAACATGATGGGGCTGATGAGATTGGGCTAGGTTATTAATACGGAGTATTATCGCGTCTTTTTCTGGAAAAATTTTAAAGTGACAGACCTGGACGCCTTGTTCGTTCTGTGGCGGAGATGTCTCTCGTATTTTTGGCCAATGACGCTTCGTCTGGCCACCCCTGACACGACGAGAATGGAAAGGGGGCCGTTTCTCTCCCTTTTTCACGCAAGTACTAGTAAAAAAAGCAGCGGAGGCGATAATAAATCTGACGAGGCTTTGCGGACTTTGCAGGTGCACTACAGCCTCGCAAGCCCAGTCTGATGATGCACACAATGGTGTTGTGAGAGAAATTGTCGCGAAAAGGGAAAAGAGAAGAGACTTGGGGCGTTTTGCTATTTTCTTATTTATAAACGACATGAAACCCGGCAGGCATCTGCAACACGACACGACGAGAGACATGGGCCTGCGTTTGTGACGGAAACGGCAAGAGAACTTGAGGCAGACCCCAGCCCAGCCTCAGTCGTACATAGCTGAGCCCTACCTACCTAGTTGGTACAGACAAGGGTTCATCACACACTCGAGCCTCCGGGAATGCAACCAGCCGAGGCAAACCCGTATGGCAAGCAATGTCCTTTTGTAGGTGAATCGAACCAACTGAAGATTGGAATTTGGACAAGACGAGGGGGAAAATGAGCTGCCCGTAGAAGCCCCCCTTTGTTGTTTGTCTGCAACACGCCGCTCGGCGCTTGCCTGATCTGTCGAATCAACAAAACCTTACAGCGTTTCATCGCCGGCTCTCCCCGTCCAAAAATTATTACTGAATACACCAATGAGAAAGATGGCAAGAAAAATGTATAGAATAATAAGAAGAAGAAGAAGAAGAAGAAGAAGAAGAAGAAGAAGAAGAAGAAGAGAAACGAAGAGAAAAGGAGAAGAAATTTAGGGGTTAATATGCATCAGAATGAGCACCTTGTTTTTACAAGCCGTTGAAAGTTGTATGAGGCGCCATGACCAGATTTTGCCTGCCGGTCGCATCTTCCCCGGCTAAAAACGTGGCAGAGCGCCGCCTTGCCAAGCCCAGATAAAGCTTGAGTTGAACTGCCCAGTAATACTCGGTACTCTCTTTCCGTAAATCATCCATCAACTTTGAGAAGTTGCCTCCTCCGGGACCAGTCCAGCATTTTGTGTCCGCCGACAGTGTATCTGGACCAGCTGTGCTGTCTGTACCAGATATCTGAGCTTGTGCGCGGCCGAGGTACAATGCCTGCAGTCCGAGGCGAATTGGCAAACGAATTGGCCTCGTCAACGGCTCAGATACAAAGGGGATGCTTCAAGGCGTCTTGCGCCCAAACGAGACTATCAATGGGCCATCGACCTTTCTCACATTGTAACAAGTCAATACGTTTGCATATACCAAAACTAGAGAATACATCTCTTCTTCCTTTAAATGACTCTCTCCATTTCATCTGTTCTTTATTTAGAACCAAGGTTCTCTACTTTATTTATACTTTCTACTTCACTTGACCGTTTTAATTTATGGTTCATCTTTTAGTATTCTTTCATCTTTGCTCTTCTTTCTTAGTCTGCTTGCTTGCTTTCGTATTTTGTCACTATTTTCTGCTGAATTCACTAGTTTTATCCATTTCTCTGCAGACGTGCCCAGTCACACTACTTTTCGCTACATCTTCATCCTGTCACTTTCTCGCACTATGTGGCGCACTTGATGGTGCAGCTCGTTCTGGTCCAAATTATCACACAGCACGGCTAATACGACTCCCTGACCGCACTTCTAGAAAAGTAGTGCACACGAAAGAAAAAAAAAAGCATCAACCAAACGGTCGTGTCACCGGTCCGCAGTCGTCAGACGGTATAATTTCCACACCATCACTCAATTTTGCAAACTCTTGGTGCCGTCGGGAATATACTGGTTGCGCGCTCCCTTGCAAGTATTTGCCAAGTACTGGTAGAACAACCTGCATCGCCCATATTAGATCTGCCAAACAACGCCGCGATCCCAAAAGCTGACTTTTTTGCTGGGTTGCAGTTGTGCCAACAGTGCGGCGCAAGTGGACGGTGAGATGATTAAAGCGGTAATGGCTCGAGCTCCTCAAACAAGATTTCCTGTGGTTTCGGTGCGAGGACTGTCCTATCTTGACGAAAACCACAGTCCCAGGCCCTTTGATTTGTCGTGATGCGATAGTTGGAAACAACTTCGACGAGAACAACGCGCATGAGCAAGCTGGCAAAATGCTGGCCCAGGCATTGCCGTGCACTGACACCGAATCCCACCACATTGTAGCTGCTCTCCATCCTTGCTATTTGGTTGAAGCGCTCGGGATAGAAATCGTATCCATTGACCTGGCGCTTGCCTTCTGGGGTCAGGATCGGACGCGACCACAAGGGTGAGTGGATGTTTACACGCGTTATATCCACAGTGACATCTGTACCAGCCGGTATATGATAGCCATCAACCGTCTTGTCCACATTCGAACGTTCAGGTGGAGAGAACCCTATTAAAAAAAATTCAAGTCAGGCTGACAAACTGCCGGCGAGCACACACACATGGGCACAACTTACAGTCAACTGGGCAGAGCCGGCGGGACTCGGCACAGCAAAACTCGAGAAGTGTATTCGATCTCCCCAAGTACTGCTCGAAACCTTGTTCCTTGCCGCTTTGTAAATGCTGCCTTGCTTCATCACGCAGCTTCTGTTGAAGTTGCACGTCGCCAGCGACATTGATTAGCAAGTACGAGAGAGCGGCTGCGGACACCTCTAGGTTATCAAGCAAGATCTCATCGACGGTATGCAGAAACTTTGGACAACGTTAGCAAAACCAATTAAACACAGACTTGCGACATGCTTCTCACCTGTTCTAGAGTAATTTGGCCCTGAGGCCCGGTGACGTTGAAGATGTTTTGCAGCGCAATCTTTGTTCCCCTCTGCGGATCGTCAGATAATTTGACTTGGACATGTTTTATGAAGACGGACCTTTTCGGCTAGAGCAATCATGCGTAAATTAAACTCTTTGAATCCTTGTGTAAATTGTTTGAGTAATCGGTTGGCTCTCGTTGGCAAAAACTTGTAAACACTGGGAATAATAAACCAAGTGGGAAGCTCAATGAAGCCTAGTTCTTCACGCATTTGTGCCAACTCCCTCAGCTCTGCAAAGTACTTGAAAAGCAAGTAAGTAAAAAAAAAAGAAAAAAAAAAAGTCAAGAAAGTTTTTTTTTCCCCATCGTGGTGACATACCTCGTCAGCTAGAGCCTCCCCGTACAAGAACCGAGAAAGTAATTTTAGAGTAAGCTGTTCACCAAGACCAGAAGCATCTACGCTAAAAGATGACTCTTTCAGCTCTTGGCTTGACAAAGTTTTCGGTATGGACTGCAACCAGCCGCGGATATCTCTCCTTAAGCAGTGAAGGAATGCCATGCCAGCACCGTGCGAAAACAAGGGGTCGAAGAGTGACCGAATTGCTTTCCAGTTTTCACCGTACGCTTGTGCAGGACTATGCCGGAGAAGTCTTGCTACAACGTCAGCGGGATGTGATCCGGGCGGGGGCTTTGCCATCAGGGCATACTGATTCAGAAAGTATCCCATATTTCCATATGATGATTTCCGGTGCTCTGTTTTGTCGCGGTCAGGCTTGTTGCTTAGAGTTACCTCTTCCTCACCATGGAAAACCAAACTTACCGCGGACATTTCCTCGGAAAAAGGCTCGTAGATGCTCGGGCGCACACAAGACCACCTCCTTGCGCCACCCGTTATACATGACGTAGGGTCTTCCGTTGGCTACTTTGAACCCTTCGTCCGAGACCTCCTGCCTAGATGCGCGCGGGAGTGAGTGTGTTCAACATGGGGAGAAACAAACAAACCCAGTGCATACACTTACCCGTGGGTGAATCGGCGAGCTCCCGTGTCTCCCTGTATTTCCTTCATCGCATAACCAGACCCATCTACAAATGTTCCCTAACGCGAGATTTTAGCCAATGCCGATAACCCAACACGGCAACGTGGCTTGCATACTTGTGTGTGGCGCCTCAACAGAAGTGCGATGAGGAAGGAACATAAAACGCCCAATATGATTTGAAAAGGGTAGTTACTCGTAAGCATCGTGGCGCACTACTGCGAAAAGTTTCGTCACGAAAATGTGTCGTTGCTGGATCTGGAGTTTTCAGATCAGCATTTGTCCTTTTTATAGAACGCCGTCCAAGGGTGAGCAATGTCAGCTTCGGCCAATGGCATGTGAGTTGTCCGGTGGTGAGTCACTATCACCTTGCTTTTTATTCAATAATGCCACTGTACCCTCATCAGCGGTCCCAAATGGTCTAATATGTCTTACCAATCCCCATCCAATTAGCCCAATCGCGGGTCGAGCCCAAAGATCGATCAGACATGCTATTATATATATTCTAACATAGATATATAGCCGGTCGGAATTTTTCTTCTTCTTGATTTAGGATCTTGACAGCGAAACCAAGCAGGGGAATACTAACCACATAAAATATGTACACGCATCTTCTACGATGATATAGTTATGGGGTGATGATAAAGGCATGAAACATGATGATCTGGTCTCGCGGATCGCAGCTAGAAAGCGGGGGAATACCCACTCCACCTGATGAACCGTAGCTGATGGTGCTGATGTCGACCCCGAAAGAAACGGCCGGCAGCAAGACTGAGATTATCGACGCCCTCCCTACATAGGAGCGGTCAATCGGAGGGTTTGGCTGTGCAACGTCTGTTTACGCCTAACGCCAATTACGATGATGAATAGCGGAATATGCCAGTCATTTCCAAGGTTTATTACTCCTTTTTCTCATCATCCAAATTATACCGGTACATGGACAACGAGGGGACTTATTTACGGTGGATTTTTCTTAGGTGTGCCGTTCCATGGCCATCTATAACTGCATAGGCAGTAAAACCTTGGAGTGCAGCATCTTCAGTTACTTCTGGCAGCCCCTTTTCGAGACTGTAGCGTTGAATTCTGATCCGCACTCTGACTCTGATCTACGATACCCTGACCCGCACTCTGGCCGTGATCTCGATACTCTGATCCGCACCCCGACTCCAGCCCGCGATACCCTGATGCTCACTCCAACTCTGGCTACGACAGCCCGAGAGGTGAATCCCAGTACATTCTGGTGCTTTCACTCCACTCCCTGCAAATACCTTTTAAAGCTGGTAATCTAGAATACTAGCGGCTATACTGGCTACTGTACGGCTGCTGTACTGACAGGGGATACAGTGGGTGTAGACTGGGACTTTGTGCTATGGCCCGCCGTGGCCAGCCCTGTGGGTTCCTCTCCGATGTACTCTGAGTCGCGAGTCACCAGCAAAAAAAAAAAAAAAACAAAAAAAAAACTCAAGATGATGACGGTATAACAGCAACTTTTCGCTGGTGTTGATGTAGAAGGAGAGCTGATGTGTAATTTGCAACATGCCTTGTCTAACTAGTACTGGCAAGTTTGGGGGTATTCGGCCATTTTGACCCCCACGTTACGCCACACAGACCGGTGAGGGCAGTGGGCGGCCCGAGCCATCTCGGGCCGCCGTTTCTTTTCGCTCTCTCTCTTTTTGGCGCCGCTCCCTTCTCTTGCCATGCCGGATGCAAAAGCCGCAACTCTTCGGCCGAGCAGATGATTCCGCTTTGTACACGTCAATGTATCCGTTTTTGTTCGCGCGCGCAAGTTCGGCGCTGGGCTTACGGACCTGGAGATGCAAGTGTCCGGTACCGCTGTCCTGTGCAGTGATGAATGCCATCAACGGGGTGTTTTGCCCGTCTGTTCGAGGTTGACCATGTTTGCGCACCACAAGTACATAAAGCCTGAAGCCCGCCAAAAGTAAACTATACGACTCATTATGGGCCCTTGGTAACTCGTGTGTGTGTGTGTGTGTGTGTTTTCTTTCGTGGTACATCTCATATTCATCACTTATCATGCTGTCTTGTTTGCAGGCAATGAGTATTGTTGTTACTCTGGCTCTTACAGCACAAGCCGCATATACTATGCAGCTGCTGCATCAGTTCCCCAGCCACTTGCAATGGGTTGAAAACATGGCCCTGCGCCCAAATGGCAACATCTTACTCACTACTTTTGATCAAGCCCGCATCTATGAGCTCGATCCCTCCAACAACGGAAACCCACCTCGGCTGGTGGCTACCCTGCCCGACGCAGATGTCGCCATCGGCATCGCGGAGACATCACCTGATGTCTTTGCTGTAGGGGCGGGCTATCTAAACAGAACGAGCTGGCATCTCGATGGATCCGGGCGAATCGACACACTAGACTTTTCACGGCTCGACTGCCATGGGCGACACAAAGTCCAGACTGTCGCGGCTCTTCGCCAGGCCAAGCTACCCAACGGCATGGCAGCGCTGCCAATGCACAGCCACTTGGTCTTGAGCGCCGACTCCATCACAGGAACCATCTACCGCACCGACACCAACACCGGCTACGTGGACGTTGCAATCCAGGATCCAAAGCTGGCGGCCCATGATAACCCGGATCCGTTTCTGAAGCTCATCGGCGTCAATAGCTTGCAGACGCACGACGGATACTTGTACGTGACGAGCACGTCTGCGCAATTCCTCGGCCGCTACAAGATTGATGCATTTGGGAATCCGTTGAGCGAGCTGGAGATTCTCGTGACGTATGACGCGCCGCGAAGCCCAGACGACTTTGGGGTTGCGAGAGACGGGTCCGTGTTTGGCGCCGTCCCGCTGCATAGCGTCTCCAAGGTCACCATCCCCCAAAACGCTTCAGATTTTGAGATGGCTTTCCTTGTCGACCATGATGCAGAGCTGCAGAGGCCGACTGCGGCCATTTTGAGCTTGGATGAGACGACGCTGTATATATCTACAGGAGGCAGGAATGGGGAGGGCGGGAAAGGTGGTCAGATATTTGCTGTCCGCTTGACGTAGGGGGGACAACAACAATGTTGTACATGGAGGGAAAAAAAAAAAGCTTAGATTTAAGCAATTATATATCGTGACGCAGAACCCTGGCATGGCTTTCTCACTCCTGGTCAACTGCAACTGCGCCGACTATTATAATGAAATGCAAAAAGTCTCCGTGTCAACTTTCATGGCCCACGTTTCCTCGGTTATTAACAAAAAAAAAAAAAGAAGCAGATGATCGCCCGAGTAATTTATTCCCTGTCCATTCGCAGCGGAGTCAGGGTCAGTCATATTCCGCCAAGCTTTGTGGCGTCTCCACACGACTTCAGCCGCACATGTCCGTAGGTATGCAAGTGACCGACACCCGTCGGAACACTTGAAGCAAAATTCCAGGGAAAAAGATTTTTGTGCGTATTTTCTCTATTACTTGTTTTTTCGCCAAGGCACATCTCTGCTATGGCTAGTTTTCTGAAGACGACAGCACACTCCCCCGCAGCGACCCGTCAAGAGAGAGAGGAAGGGAGGGAGAGCTGCCGCTGCGTTTTTGAAGCTTCAAAATTTCGCCTACAGGCCATTAAACCATTTTATCCTGGGTGGCGTCTTTTTCAACCAAACACCCTTCTTATTTGCGGCGGTCCCACCACATCCCTGTATAGGGCTGGGATCATAAAAAGAGCTGAAAAAAAAAGCGTCAATTACCATTGCTGGACCGGTAATTAGCAGCGGTCAGGGTCATGGCGAATACTGTTAAAGAGAGGCGAAAAACTGTGGATAATGTCGGGGAACCCAGTTTCAGCTCAATGTTGATCTTCTTTCTTGGTAACTTGTCGTTCAATCTCACAAGTTTCTTCGGCAAATGTACAATACTAGTACAAGTAGTAAACTCTAGTAGTGACTTGCCGTCGTTGGTGATAACTGGCTCTCTCAAAATCTTTTGCTTCATCGACCAGACATAGATAGCATTTGCCACCATGCCGAGCTCACACAACGAAAATGACCCTTTTCAACAAGTCAGCCCCGTATCGGCCCAGTCACCGCAGACTCATCCAAGTAGCAACGTTAGAGACCGCGATGCTGACGCGCCCGAAGCAGTCGACGCTGCCATGACGCCGTCCACCTTCGTCGCCAGTCCTGCCACCGACTACAGCCGTGCTGGCGGCAGCACAGACAAAGGCGAAAAGGAAGCCTTTACGTACGACAAGTCGGACAAGATTGCGGTCCCGACAGCCTACGAGTATCAAACCTCGCCGTATCCGCAAGTCATCGGTGGCCACAACATTGGCCAGAAGCCAGAGGCCGACCCGGAACAGAGTGTAGGAGCACCTACTGGGCAAAAGCCTCGGCCAAAGATTTTGGGGCTACAAAGACGAATATTTTATATCCTTCTCATTGCCGCCTGCGTCGTCATCGCCGCGGCGGTCGGAGGGGGTGTTGGTGGCGCGCTGGGATCCAAAAAGTCAACCTCTACAAGCGGCGGCACCACTGATCCGGCCGCGACCAAGTAAGTGATGAATAGCTTGTTCAGTCAAATCACCACGCGCGTCTTCTAAACCCTGTGCGCCACATCAAGTTCCCCCACGTCTAGCTCGACGCCATCGTCCACGCAAGCCGACGCAACAAGCTCATCGTCCACCTCGTCGGCCCCGAGCGCAACAGCCACGTTTCTCAACCAGACGAGTACGAGCTCGGGTCACTTTTTCCAAGGCTTCTCCGAGACCAACATGGCGGGCGAGTACACACGAATTGTGTCCCAGGTTGGCGGCGCCGACTTTGCGTTTGACATTCGCAGCTACCAATATATTGCGCAAAACACAAACTGCTGCCTCTCATTTTGCACAAACGCGACGAAGGAGGGTTGGCTAGGGTACGTCTGCGAGTCTAGGAAGCAAAATGCGGCGACGGATGCGTTTTCGCGAGTGTTTGTCTGGTGCAGCGACAAGCGGACAGACGCAGTGGCTAGAGGACGATGCGCATAGGAAATGATTTGGCCCAAGAATACCAATGAATACTTGTTTGTAGCATAACCGAGTCCTTGCAGCGGGTGCTGGGGATATTCTTTCTTTTGTGCCATCCTGCTTCGTTACCAGGATCCGGAAGGGTTGGGCCTCGGTGAATGTACTCTGTAGTTGGCTCGGCTACTCTTGACCCTCTGCCTTGACAGAAGTACCAGCACAAGCGACCAGTTTGAGGGGAGTTGTTGTAACTGCAGGCCGATGGAGCTGCCTGTAAGTATTCTGCGCGGTAGCAGTTGGTCTCGCAGTCGCCCAAGCGGCGACAAGCTTCAAGTCCGTCTAATATATGGCACACCAGGTGTTCACGACGGGTTTTCCTCTAGTGCTCGATAATCAATGTATCTGTTGATGATGAGCGTTAACATTCAGACAAACATGGGCATGTACGTACCACTATAAACTTGATGCAGAACCCATCTGGTCGTGGCATTCAAAGATTGCTCGCGTACGGGCTTCTTAGTACAACGCAAAGTGCCATTTTCAAAACACTCAACGTAAAACATACATGACTTCTATCAACACACACTTCAACAATCTAGTGAGAAAATTGCTCGCAATGTACATGAAAAATCTGACGCGCGTACGAGGGCTTTTCATCCAAGATATTCGTCCTGAATCAAGCTGTACCACGGCTTGTCATCACGCCATGAAGCCTCCATGAGCTTGCGTGCGCGCTTAACCTAATGATTATCAGGCGTCAGTAGTTGTCCAGAATAGCGTCAAGACTTTACTTTTCAGCAATTCCATACCTGTTTCATGCCGCACTTCTCCGCACTCTTAAAGCGGGCAAGAATCAGCCTACGCTGTGTGACATCGCTTGTTTCGCATCCAGCAACGAAAAGCGGAAATAGGCAAGCCGTGTCAGCTTCCCTTTCTCTGCGTACATGCTGAATACACTCCCATATTCTCTGGACCCCGTCCTGCACCTCTTCATCGCCAGAGCCCTTGCGCAGGATGCGGCGTCGCAGGTACACAATGCCAGCCCAGTGGAAAGCCTGGTTGGCAGCGTCCATCTCCGTGAGGCTTCTCATGTCAACCTTGTTTTTTCGGATATGGTGGCAAACCTTGACGGGCTTCGTCATGCTCTCCTTGAATCTGCTCTCGAGGTCCAGTGCCGCTTGCATGGTGGCAGCGTCTGGCCCCTCCGGGCCGGAGCAGGTTCGAATCTGGGAAGCAAGCTCGACAAGGAGCTGTCCGCAGCGCGTGGTGAAACCCATCACGCAGTCAACCTCCTCTTCGTCATCGACAGCGATCCTGTGCAGCAGGTCAAACGGACCAGTCTGGGGCGTAATGTCCTCTATGGGCGGGCTGAGGCTGACTTGGCCCATGGCATCAAGATACGAAAACCAACTGAAAATGAAGGAGAGCTCCTCATCCTTTTCATCTTTCGCGCGCATGCTCCGGACACGCTTGTCCACCAGACTACGCGTAAGATTGAGGTGCTTCTGCCAGGGAATGTTGGCTCCAAAGGTACTTGGAGATGACTTTTCGAGCGATATCAGAAGCACCATTGAGAGCAGTATATCATCCGGCAGTGGTTTGCTTTGGTCGTCGAGTTGCACTCTTAGGACAGAGAAAATGTCTTCTGCCCACTCGGCCATCCGCAATTCAGGCTCTATCATTCGCAGGACTTGCGACCGATGCACAGCTGCAGCAGGCGTCAGCTCATAATGGGAAAGAAAAGGTAAAACAATCTAACCTGCGAAAGCTAGCACCAGGCTCAGGAGAACATCACTTTGGAATGCAATAGCTGGCATAAAGGAGCTAAATGGATTAGCGTCTTTATTATGGTACGGTGCCAGGACTATGTTTTGTCAGTTGCGGCTCATCTTTTGGACTTTGCTTCCTCATACCTTTCGCTGTGTAATTGACAAAGTGGTCCTAGAAAGTTTGTTTCAGCATGAGTAATACTATTGGGCATCCAATAAGGACTCACGAAGAACTGTCATTATGTTAGCGAAATTGTTCTTAGAAATACAAGGTGCACCTACCATCATGTTGGTTTCGTCTCTCAATCTGCGCAGCCTTCTTGTCAGCATCTTTTCTCCGTCTTGTTCGTTTCGAGATATCTTACTTGTCTGGTATAGGAGATATTCCTTTCGGCAGCGAATTGATGGTTTGTTGGTATTCGCTACTGATTATCCAGGGCGGGTTCCCGGTCGCCGTTTCTGCCTGTTCAGGGATCGTCTCAAAGCTTCCGCCTCTGATCAGCGGGGCGTTCATGTCTCCCATGGCCATCATCCATGGTTTCCCACTCATGAGACACATCATGCTACAAGTGGGTGCGCTACTGCAGCCGACTTGAGCCATGTACGAGAGGCTGTTTGAGCATTCCACAGAGCCGACTCCTGTGCCATCAACACTAGATCTACGATCAGACGCCTCAACAGCTGCAGGATCCAACCACATCGAGTGAAGTGCCATCTCATCGCTAGTACAAGACGGAACTCTCGAGAGTTGTGGCGAGTTCAGAGTCATGCAACTCAGCATGGGCCCTGTGTTGTTCCATGCACCTGACCACTGGGGATCTCTGGGAGACTGGGCCTGCTCTAGGTAATATGGTTCCAGCTGGCCGTCATTTTGTGTTGGTCGAGATGCGATGGCTTCTTCGTTGGTCGATATAGTTGATGCGGGACTTTGTGCGGTGCCAGTGAACTGCATGGTAGCCATGGTCATATCTGTGCTCTCGCTGCCCATGGCGAATTGAAGGTCCACGGACGTCCGATCTAGGGAAAAGGCATCATCCATCGATTTAGCCTTCTTCTTTACCACGACAGATGAGCTCATGTCAGAGTTCTGGTGCAAGTCTTGAAAGAGAGTATGCTCAAACTCATAATGTATGGGGCCCGTGTTGGCTGAGTTTGGCTCGGTTGCAGAACGCTCAAGTGGCACGCCAATACTGTCGGCTGCGGAGGCGTCGACCAGAAATTCGTTGCTGAATAGAGTTTGCATGGGCAACGCTTCGTCGGTCTCGCCAGCGCCGCTACGGCGCTTTATCCTCCGGCCTTCCCAGTTTAGCCTGATCTTGTAGTCACAAGTATCACCAGTTTTTGCGCAACTGTGTGGGAGTCAGCCCAACTGCGGCAGCAGAACAAGAGGTGACAGCTCTCTCGTAGTTGAAAGAAGACTCACTTTTGACAAATGGGTCGTTCCTCTCCGCACTTCACCTTGCGGGATTTGCAGGGCCTGCTTTTTGTCAAAAAGAATGCGAGGGCCGCATATAAGTGGCTACTCACCAGCAGCCAGTGCGGCTGCGTCGTTTTGGCTCCGAGGATCCTGAGGCTTTTGCGCGAGGCATCTCGACTGAATAAATCGAATGTTGAAATTCTGTATGTGATTTGAGTACTGGCCAACAAGAGGCTCTGAGACACAGCAACAGGTGCAGCAAAGGCGACAGAGCGTGTTGGAGGGTGCACAGGGATTGAGCGAACAGCCACGATTGGCAGTCGAGTTGGGGTTGGTCAGGTGCTTTAAGTACGGCATGGATACGGAATCAAAAAAATAGAATAATCTGGGAAAACCAGCCGAAACGGACACAAAGGCGTATTTAAAGCACATACAAATGAGCAGCAAGAGACGGGACAAGAACATGGTGGGCAAAGAGCGACCCGAACCGACAGGGGTCTTGATTCCAGCTGGCTGGTGACACTTGCCTCACTTTTCAGCCAATGGGGGCGCTGACGATTGAGATACTAAGCAGAATGCGACATGACAGCAGCGCGTGGTGTCAAGCGAGCGGGGAGAGACCCGTCTTTAGAGGTCCGTCTTCCAGGTCGCTGCAGGTGCTCCTTGCCTCATCGGCGGTGTCAAGTTGTTGGCACTGATTGGCAGAATAACCAAGAACTCACAGAACTGGGTAGTAATAACCCGGCTCGTCGCGGTTGGTGGGGGAATAACCAGGCTTCACGCTAGCCACCGTGGCTGAAGACGCTATTTGGCTCAGCTCGGTGACAGCATGGGAGCCTGTAGGAAGAGTGAAACATGGAACTAGGCGTTTGCGACGGGCCCAGGGCCGTGGTTCTCGTGGTTTTCGACAAGCGAGTTTGCCGACGATAATAGTTTTGCCATGCGGATTCCGTCTCGCTTCTATTTTTGCATCTATTATCCGTACTACATGACGTCAATGTTGAGGATTTTAATGTCTTCCTCGGGCTTCTCTTTAAAGGTGCGCGTATTCTCAATCTTTTGAATCACGTCAAAGCCTTGGGTGGCGCGACCAAATATCGTATGCTTGCCATCAAGCCACGGCTGCAAGCACATGTTCGGTTAGCCAAACGTGGGGTTCCGCTGTATAGGCAATGAGGTTTTGAGAATAAACAGGAGCGGGAAAAAGAATCTGCAGGATCATCCCGAGCGGGAGGGAGGTAGCTAGCGTGCCCACTTACCGTCTTTTCCGTGGTAATAAAAAACTGGCTGCCATTGGTGTTGGGCCCGGCATTAGCCATGCTGACAGTGTACGGCTTGTCGTGCTTGAGACTGCTAAATTCATCCGCAAACTCACGTCCCCAGATGCTTTCGCCGCCCGTGCCGTCGCCGAGCGGGTCGCCGCACTGGATCATGAATTTGCGAATGACGCGATGAAAGATAGTATTGTTATAGTAGCCCTGTTTTGCGTGCGTGACAAAGTTCTCGACCGTTTTCGGTGCCGCATCGGGAAAGAGGCGTAGGTGGATGTCACCATAAGTGGTATGGAGCACCGCAGCACTCCCTGTCTCTGTTTTCTTAGCATTGACCTCCTTCTCGCGACCGAGCATTGTAGGCCTTTCATTCTGCACATCGCGCGTTGATTTGGATATTTCTTGGTCATTTGTAAAGAGATAGAAGCGGACTTTGCCCGCCGCCGTGGCAACGAGCAGAGGGTCACGGGCTTCCGACTCCTGCAGCAGGGGGTTACTCGACGCACCCATCTCCACCGAGGTGACGCCCTTTTTCTGCGGCTGACCCTGGTAGATGGCCAAGTTGATGGCGCGTAGGTTGTCGTCCTTTCCATACGTCTTGACCACCTGATTCGTGTACGTGTTGAGGACTTTGATGCCCAACATGGAGCCATATATCAGAAAATTGCCTGATTCGTCAAAAATCACATTTGATCCCGCCCGCATGCTCTGCGACTCGACCTCTCGCTCCTGGGCTAACCGACGCCCGAACTCGACCTGATCCATTTTCTGGGACGCGCTCCCCGCTTGCTGCAAGTCTTGCATGGCTTGCAGTGACTCATCGTAAGTACGATGCAGCTTGGCGGAGGCAAAATCGAACAGGCGAATCTTGCGATCAGGAAGCGAGAATGCGGCAAAGCTTTTACCCTGCGGGGATATCGTGATGCATGTCGGAACAGACTTTGCCTTTTTAAAGTCGAAGAGGCTCGTCGAGCTCTTGTACTCGAAAACACCCTCGGGCTTTTCGTATGTCCCGCTCGGTCGCCAGTACTCGATCATGCCACCTTCGTCGGCAGATACGACACAATCGTAACTGTCATTAAATGCCATCAGATGGACAGGGTTTCGGTGCAACCCCTTTATGGTATGGATCGGCTCCTCCTTGTCCCCCCTACCATCGTACAGGTGTACGAGCGGCTTCCCCTCTTGGGACACGGCCAGTAGGGGAAACGAGGCACCCTTCTTGTGCACCCAGCACACGCTTTTCGGGGCGTAGCTCAGCGTGATCATGGACAGCAAATCAAACGTAATGACGTCAAAAATCTTTATGGTCTCATCCGCCCCAGCAGTAGCAAAGCTTCGTCCGTCCTGGCTGACCGCAACAGCCTTGATCTCGCCATGATGGGCGCGAAACTCTTTGACAAACTCGATTCCCTGTGCAATCTTCTTCCAAAATTTCACAACGCCGTCGGCGGACGAGGTAATGAGAAACTCTGTCAGCGGCGTCCACGTGACAAAGGAGACTTGCTCCTTGTGCATGAGGGACCGAGAATATCGCGCCGAGGCGGGCAGTGCCGCCACGTAGAGCTTTTCGTAGGGCAGGACGCGTCGCTTCTTCTTGGGCGCTTCGGCAGAGGGCAGCTGAGGGCCCATGTCGTCATCGGAGGAGTCTGCGCAAGTGTATGTTAGTCTTTGACGGCCTCATTGGACAGCAGGCAGGTCCAGTGGGAGTATGGCGTACCAGAAGCGTCATCTTGGAAGTCGGCGTGGCTTCGCTTCTGGGCCGCGCTATCGTCCGGGGCGCCGTCTGCCATGACTGCTGCTGTCGATAGTATTGGGTGGACGATGGCCTCGCAATTGGGCCGCTGAAATACGACGGCAAGTCAAAGGGCACTGTTGTTGCAGGTAAATTTGCGACAGCATTTGGGCCAAAGACCTGGAAAGTTTTACTGGAGCAAACGGCCAGGCCTGGCCGCCTAAGGACTGAGGTACAAGATGTGGGGTGCTGCAGCTCTCCCAATTAAGGGCAAGGCACAACAGAGTGACAGCTACCCTGCGCCGGTCGGACATGGCGATTTCAATCGATCTCAGGGTTCTTTTGGCAGATTAAATGCACGTTCATCTTTTGATTTAAATCTTAAGCCACTTTGCCATTTTTAGAAACAAAAATGTCCGTGCAGTTGCCGTTGTAAAGCAGTAAAATGCACGTCTGTATTCGGAGCCATGCCGGCCCCCGGACTTTTGGCACCAATATTTCGCCGCCTCCGCGAAATACTACTGGTAGTTACAGACCAGGCAGAACGGGCGCGATGCCATCAATTTCAACCCTTTTATCTTTTCCGCTTGCATCCGCTCCGAGTATTTCTTACCAGCGTTCCGTAATAGACATTTGCTAGACACCGCCTTGCTTCATGCACAGACCGATACAACCATGGCTCAGCATCCTCTCCAGAAAGCAGACTCGCCTACCCGCGGCTTCTCCCTGCTGTGGCATCTTGTCGGCATCACCTCGTTCACGTCCAGCTACAAGTTCTTGCTCGATTGGAAGACGCCCGTGAGCGAGTCCTACGGCTGGCACCTGCAATTCCTCACCATCATTGCACTGACGCTTTCGTTTGTGACCTTTGTCGTCGCGGTCGTGGCCGATGTGACGCGCAGCGCCACCCTCTTTGGCGTCAAGAACTCGCTGTCCATTGTGGCCACGCCGCTTAACGTCGTCGTCACGACCCTCTACTATGGCATCTCCGCCATTGACCCGGAGCTCGTGGTCCCTCCCGAGTTCAGGATCCCGCTCGCCGTGGATCTTGGATTCCACTTTGCTCCGAGCCTGCTTCTGGTGTTTGATTACCTGGTGCTCAGCCCACCATGGACGGTTGGCGCGCCCGTGGTCATGGGCCTCAGCACCAGCATTGCTTTTGGCTACTGGTACTGGATTGAGCTCTGCTACAGCAAAAACGGCTGGTAAGTCTTGCAGCCGGCGACGGTGGTGCCCCTTACCTCGGCTAACTCGACCAGGTACACCTATCCCATCTTTGCTCTCCTCAACACTCCGCAGCGCGTTATTCTCTTTACATTTTCTGCTGTTCTGGTCACCGTGGCGTCATCGGCTCTCAAGATTGTCTACACCAAGCTTAACGAGCCGGCTGTAGCTGCAGCAAAAAAGACCAATTAGGATATTCTCCGTGCAAGTATTGAATATGTAAATTAGTCGCCAATAATGCACGGTACTTGTCTTGAAACATGTAGTAATAGTACCTCTCGCTGAGCTTAATATACAATCTGCGCCTAACAGCAAAGTCACAGATTTGATCGAATACCGCCAGGGTGTGATATCTTTGCTACCAACGGACTGAGCAATTCCGGGAAGCGCATCGAGACTGGAAATGGCGGCGTCAAGCTGGCGTTCGTGGTTGCTTACAATGGTGCCGTCGAGTCCGTGATGGACGGCCAGCTTGGCATCTTTGACGCTCAGGACGCCCTTGACAACTATCGGCCTATCCCAGTACTTGCGCAGAATGTGGCCAACACTGACGAGGAAGGGGATATTGGCTGTATCAAATTCACTCAATCTCCACGCCACGGTCCATCCGCCCAGCGTTACAACTAGCGTCTTGAAGCCGTTCTTCTTAGCCTGGCTCAAGATGGAGGCGGTGATTTCTTCGTCAAGAGGTCAGTATAGCTGAAACCACTTGTCGCTCTCGGGGTAGGCTTCGACGAGCTCTTCAATGCCCGTTGTCGAGGATGTGCTGAGCGTAAAGGGTACTCGTAGCTCTGCCCTTGCCTTGGCAGTGCCGATTTTCTTGTCACCAGGGACCACTGGACCTTGGTGACTTTGGGTTAGTTTGGCTTGTCGCCATCACGTCTCAGATCAAACACTTGAAAATCACTAATCGTATCGTCACGATTTCAGGTGAATTTATGATTGGCCAATTATCTAATATTATAGTCAATTACAACAGCCTTCTCGCCAGTTCCTCTTTATCCAAAACCACACATTCTTCAATCAACTCAATCAACCCTCGATGAATGCCTACATCCAGATCCAGACCCAAGTACTCTGCCATGTCCACAATCCACCCATTCACGTCTCGTATCTCTGTTTTCCTCCCTGCTTCTGCGTCCTGAAGCATGGAGCTCCGATGCTCACGTATCTTTAGACCGAATGCATACAGTTTTGCCTTCAAGATGGGCTGCGAGAACCGGACTGTCAGCTTCCTGCGAATATTGGCAAAGTTTCTGCCGTAGTCGTCGCTACCTGGCACGAGCCTGTGCACCGTCTCGGCGTACGACGTCAACATGTCGATATTCGCATCGTGGTTGATGAGCGCCTGGATCACGGCGCTCGCTTGCCACAGGAGCTGGTCGAGCACGCGCGTCAGGGCGTCGTGCGAGTCGTAGCTTGCAAACAGCTGTCCGGTATTGCACCGAAGCAGCGTCGTCAGCGGGTTGATTGCTGCATTCAAGACGAGCTTTTCCAGCTGAATGATCCATAGCTGGCCCGAAGAGACGTGCTTTGTATCGAGAAAGGGCGTGCTGCTAATGTACGTCGTGAAGAAGTCGTCGTCCAGACGCCGCCGCTTGTTTTGCCCATGTGCCGGCGCCGCCGAACCCTTGAAGATGGGCCCGATGAACGCGTCGCTCGGAGATGTATGAATGCTATAAAAGAGTCCTGCCGCTGATATCCCGTGGTTCACTACACACGCGGAGAAGCTGGGCGCATCGTCGGCGTGGTATCGGCTAGCCACGTAGAGAGGACCGTATGGAGCCCACAGCTTGCTCACGCCATTCTGTGCAAAAACAACAGAGCTGCATCGTCCCAAGTATCGACGTAGCCGGTCTACTTCACCCAGCCCAGCATCGGCTTTGGTTGAAATGAAGACGTTGTGTAGCTTCTCTCCATCAGCCACTTCCCTCACCGGTCCATACCGGGGCCTGCTCTCCGTCCACCATTCGACGTCGAACTGCTTATTCTTGGTAACCTTGCCGCCTCGATCCACCAGAACCACTCCCTCGCTTGTGACCCATTGTGACAAGAGCTCTTTACGATGCACAACCAATGTGATGGGTAGAGCATCGCGTTGTCTAGACATGTAGCTCGCATACAGCCTACCAACATTACCAGGTCCGACAATGTAGATGCGCTTGACGGGCTCCGATGCTGTAGTGATGGGAGCGTCGACAGGATATTTTCCGGGATCAAAGTCACCTCTGTCGGCTCTGTCAGGCTTTACTGCAGTTGGAGAATCAAGGTTTGCGGGAGACCACGCAAAGAGTTTCGGAGGTGGTCTTGTATCAGCCAAAAGCGTCGACAACCAGCTTGGATGCTCCGGAGATGGCATAGTGTTATAAAATCCACAGAGTGAGTAAGACTGCGAGAGATGAAATCTTCCGAGGTGTGCCAACTTTTGATCATGCTCTGTCAAGGGTCCGAGCAAAAAGGACACATAATTAAACAGCGAGATGTAGGAGAGTAGTCGAGCTGAGGCAAAACAATACATAAGGATCACCGGAATCACAACATTGCTCCAAGTCAGCGACCACATGTGTTGATGCACTGGTCAACCGGGCTTCCTACAAGTCAGTGGGCCCTTTTACACCACTGCAGCTACTATTAACATCCGCAAGTATGATTTCCTGACAATACGAACTGCGTAGATGACGATCGTTGGCTCAGACTGCAGCTTTGATGATCCAGCCGGCATGTTTGCTGCCTAGGTGCAGCCAGCCACCGTCCTGCCCCAAATACATGTATTAAAGCGAACAAGTTTATAATTCCAATCAAGTATATGGAGAAAACGATTGCGGCTTGGGAAGAAGCAGGTTAGCAATTGACGGCCTGCAGGGTTCTCCTGCTCAAGGCCCAGTTGTCGGGCGTTTGTTTCCGTCCAGCTGGGAAAAAAGAGCAGCAAACCAGTATTTGCACGGTAATGGCCAGAATCAAAATTCCTTATCATCGCCTATTCGTATCCAAAAGTAGTTATAGAGCACTATGTGAGAATTTGGATGGATATCGACTCGTGTAAATCTCCTGCGCTGGCCCCGTCATGGTGCAGCTCAAGCAATCTCTCAGCAGCTTTGAAGCGTCGAGGCTGCATGCATCCATATCAGCTGAGTATTATGTCATTCAATCTTATCATTGCATATTTGTGCACAAACTTGTTCTAGGAAAGTTGATAAACAGTGTGTATGCACACCTTGGTGCGTTCGTCCTGTACGCACAGCTAAACGTTGCCCAATGTTGCCTATACAGCTCCAAAATACAAGACCGAACCGGACTGGTGTATTTGTAGACTATCGCGAATCACACCATCTCGTCGGCAGCCGGATGCATCCCGATTCGATAAGCCACGCGTCAATATGATCAACGAACGCCTACACCCCCACCCACACCTGCAGGAGCTCGAGATATTGACAAGATGCAATGTAAGATCCACTCCCCCGAAAGAATGCTCGTATATTGGCGAGTTTGTGGCGAAGTTTCAGCTCTCTGAATTGTATTTCCTGCAGCGTTTCGAGCCTTGCCAACACAGGGAGCTTGATCAAAGCCAAGTGGGCGCCTTGCATTCGAGACGGCAGGTTGCTGCAAGAAGTGGCTTTGACAGCACGCCATGCTATAATTAATGTCGCACATACTGCGTCTCTAGTTCTCTGATGACGGCACATCTCATCCGATGTTTTTCTTTCTGATCTCTTATCATCTAGTGAAATGCTACCAATGTCGCGGGCCGAGCCGACGAAACCAAAGATGTCGGTGGCGGCTTAGCACGCCATGCCGAGCGCAACAGAAAAACTGTGCCATGCAGGTCATGTACTGTCATAGATAACATCTTTAGGTATTGAAGTGAAATTTTTAGGAGAAGCAGATGGACTGATGCACATGTCAAAAAATTTGAGGATGCATGTGAACATGTCGCAGGCATGTGGCTGGCTGCGGCTCTGCGTACCAAAACAAGACAGCAAATAGAACGAGCAGCTTTGCTGGGTAGGAGCAACCACATGCCAGTGGGCAGAGATACCATGGAAAAGCTTGATGAAATATAGCGACAAGTTCACTTGCAGCAGTTCGATTCAGTCGTCTAGTCGGAACTCTAGGCTTTGGCATGATGGAAGCCTTCCTGCTTGTTGCAAAAAAGCAACTGCCTACCTATTACGAAAGGCAGCCATTGGGAAAGACCTTGATCACCCACGGTAGGATCAGTTTAATCGGGCCTTGGACCGGATACAATGCAGGGGTCAAGTTACCTCGAGTTCTTTTGGCGAGGCCGAGTACCGATGGTATCCGGCCGAGAGCGCTTGTGTAGCAGCGTCTGGTTGATATACGCATTACTCTGAATTACGTATATATAGAGTTTGAATCTCATTTATGAAAAGGTTTGTAGCAATGGTCACTGACGCACACTACAAGTCACTATTTCTAGTCTATCATTGCCGACAGGCTCGTCTCCGACGACCGATACCTTTGGGCTACAATCTGTGAATTGAAGTTACACATATACTCGCAGACCAATTTTCTTCTCTTGGCTGCACATTACTTCTTACCTCGCAATTATCATCTTCAACTCTCTTGTACTACATTCCTATGGAGCCGCTAAAAAATGTCAATACTGGGCAGCCATGCTCAACTGTTCCGTTTCCAGTGTCTGACGAGACAGTTGAGCATCTGAATGGTCTATATGAGGAAATCAACCGCCGTTTTGGCTTGGACAGGGATGCCATCGAGACTATTCTCCCATGTACACCCTTCCAGTACGATGTGCTTGATTGCGCTGCCAATGATGCAAGACACGCCGTCGGTCATGCCATGTACGAAATATCGCAACATGTTCATGTCCAACGCTTCATCGCTGCTTGGAGAGAGACTGTGCGGCGCACTCCAGCCTTGCGCGCCTGCACCTTTACATCAACGACCGGGGAGTCGTTTCAGCTGGTACTGAGAGAGAGCTTTGTGCTTTCGCGCATATACTGGTCTTCTTCTTCTAGCTTACAGGCAGCTGTTTTGAAGGATGAGACGACGGCGGCCACTGCTGGGCCGCGTTGCAATCGACTTGTCCTTCTTGAAGACCCAGATACAAGGAAACAACTGCTGATTTGGGTATTTCATCTTGCACTCGTGGACAGCACCGTTCAGGAACCCATTCTCCGGCGGGTTCTGGCGGCGTACAAGAGTGAAGACGACCAGCTAGACAGCCTTCCGCTCACACCAGACTCTTCTGGAGGTTCCGACTCGGACTCTCCCAGCACGCTCAAGATGCCTCGGGCTTTTGACCAGGAAAAAGCCACGCAATTTTGGCAGCGCCAGTTGAGCGGTCTCGATGCTTCCGTCTTTCCTCCTCTGTCTTCTCACCTGACTACGCCCAAGGCCGATGCCAAGATTGAGCACTACATATCATGGCCGGCCTCTGCTGCCCAGCACAGGTGGTCATCCACTACTGTGTGTCAAGCTGCTCTTGCGGTTCTCCTGTCTCGCTACAGTCACTCTTCCGAGGCGCTCTTTGGCGTCGTGACCGAGCAAGTGTGCATGTTTGAGGGACAGCGACTTCTCATTAACGGTCCGACCCGCTCAGTGGTGCCTTTTCGCGTACATTGTGGCCCGGAACAGTCTGTCACGGACCTTTTGAAAAGCATTGCTTCCGACAATCACGACATGCGCCAGTTTGCGCATGTCGGCCTTTGCAACATAAGCCGCATCGGAGATGATCAGTCTGCCGCGTGCAGGTTTCAGACTGTGCTGAGCGTCACCAATCATCGCCGCTCCTCCGAAGACGCTGCCTCGGGCGACGAGATTCTCCAGATCTTGCAAGAGTCAGAGGGCTTTGCGCCTTGTGCAGACCGTGCTCTTTTGCTGCGTTGCGAGACGAGCCGTCAAGGAACGCTGTTGGTCGCAAGATACGACCAAGGCGTGATTGAGCCCCCTCAGATGGCTCGCTTTCTGAGGCAGCTGGGATGGTTGATGGAGCAGTTGCAGAGTGCGGCGGACGATGCTCTTTCCGTGAAACAACTAGACATTGTGACGCACGAGGACCGCGCAGAGGTTGACAGTTGGAATTCTGATGCCTTGGAGGTACAGGAAAGTCTGCTTCACAGTGCGTTTGTGAAACGGGCCGCTGAGTTCCCTAGCGATCCTGCAGTATTCTCTTGGGATGGAGCATGGACTTATTCCGAACTGGATAATGTCTCTTCGCGACTGGCTGCTCACATACGATCTCTCGACTTGGGTTACGAGCAGTTGATAGTGCCCGTCTACTTTGAAAAATCGAAATGGGTTGTTGCCTCGATATTGGCGGTGCTCAAGGCCGGTCACGCCTTTACACTCATCGACCCCAAAGATCCGCCAGCCCGGACAACTCGGATAGTCCAGCAGACATCCGCCAAGGTTGCCCTCACGTCCAAGCTCCATCAAGACACCGTGCAGGCCATCATTGGTCGCTGCATTGTGGTCGACGATGATTTCGTTCAGTCGCTAGGCTCAGCGAGTCAATGTCAAGAAAAGTCCGAGTTGACAGTAAAGCCGCACAATCTAGCCTACGCCATCTTCACCTCGGGGAGTACAGGAGACCCCAAGGGCATCATGATTGAGCATCAAGCGTTTGCTTCTTGTGTTGCCAAATTCGGCCCCGCGCTCATCCCTCATAATGCGCGTGCTCTTCAATTCGCGTCTCACGGGTTCGGTGCCTGTCTGTTGGAAATCTTGCCTACTCTACTACGCGGTGGCTGCGTCTGCATTCCCTCCGACCTTGACCGCATGCACAACATCCCCGACTTTATTAGGCGGTATAACGTTAATTGGATGATGGCTACACCGTCGTATATGACGACGTTTAAACCAGAAGATGTCCCGGGACTCCAGACTCTCATCCTGGTTGGAGAACAGATGTCAGCATCTGTCAACGCCACCTGGGCCTCTCGACTTGGACTCTTTGACGGCTATGGCCAAAGCGAAAGCTGCTCCATCTGTTTCATTGGCAAGATTAGTCCAGTTTCCGAGGCAAACAACATTGGCCGAGCGGTAGGCGCACATTCTTGGATCGTGCACCCTGATGATCCTGATCGTTTGGCTCCCGTCGGTGCCGTTGGCGAGCTTTTAATAGAGAGTCCTGGGATCGCGCGCGGCTACATTGCCGCTCCAGCAACGGACAGAAATCCCTTTCTCGAGACAACTCCCGCTTGGTATGCTCCGAGGCAGCTGCCAGCTGGTGTCAAGTTCTATAGAACAGGCGATCTCGCGCGCTACGCAGCTGACGGTACAGTGGTGTGTCTTGGTCGTATAGACTCACAGGTCAAGATCCGAGGCCAGCGCGTGGAGATGGGCGCAGTGGAAACGCGTCTGCGACAACAAGTACCAAGCGATATAACCGTTGTGGCCGAAGCCGTCAAGCGCTCAGGTTCATCTGGCAGCACGGTCATAACGGCCTTTTTGATAGACTCGTCGGACAAGAACAATTCCAGTGCTGCATCCGCTAAAGATGCACGAATTTTGGATCAAACGGCAACCCAAGAGATGAATGCAAAGTTGTGTCAGGTTCTTCCTCCGCATTCCGTTCCGTCTTGCTACATCTGCATGCACGCTCTTCCACGCACTGCCACCGGAAAGGTCGACCGAAAGACGTTGCGCTCTATCGGCAGCAAGCTCCTAGAGCAACAAGCTTACAAGAAATCTCCCGAGACAATGCAAAAGTCAAAGTCAGCAGAGACACTGGAAACTGGTCCAGAAGCCAGACTCAAAGAGGTTTGGTTGCAGAGTTTCAATCTTGAACCTGCTTCTCCAAAGTGTGGTGCAAGCTTCTTTGAGCTGGGCGGAGATTCAATCACCGCCATTAAAATGGTTAACATGGCAAGAGCTGCTGGATTAGAGCTGAAAGTCTCTGACATTTTCCAAAATCCCACCCTTGCTCGTCTTCAGGCCGTGATGAGCGGCGATTCTACGCCCTCGACCATCACGACGCCCTTTGCCACCATTCCGGCGTCGACTTGGGACGGACCCGTTGAGCAGTCTTACTCTCAAGGTCGATTGTGGTTCCTCGACCAGCTGGATATTGGAGCTGTATGGTACCTGATACCTTATGCCGTTCGCATGCGGGGAGCTCTCAACATTGACGCTCTACGTGCTGCTCTGCTGGCGTTGGAGCAGCGACACGAGACCCTGCGGACGACCTTTGAGAACCAAAACGGTGTAGGAGTGCAGATTGTTCACCAAAGACTTGCCAAGGAGCTGAAAATTATCGATGCGTCGTCCCACGGCGATGACGGCTACCTCCAGCCACTTGAGCAGGAGCAGACCACTCCATTCGATCTGACTTGTGAGGCGGGCTGGAGGGCATCACTCATCTGCGTCGGCGAGGACCATCATGTCTTGTCTATTGTCATGCATCACATTGTCTCCGATGGCTGGTCCATTGACGTGCTGCGGCAAGAACTAGGCCAGCTCTACGCAGCGGTTTTGCATGGCGACGAGGATCCTCTGTCGGCCGTGAGCCCGCTCCCCATACAGTATCGAGACTTTTCCATGTGGCAGAGACGTCAACAGGTCGCCGAGCATGACAGACAGCTTCAATACTGGCGGAAACAGCTCGCAGACTGCTCGCCGGCCAAGCTGCCCACCGATTTCCCCCGACCACCCTTGCTGTCCGGCGACGCTGGCAGCGTACCGGTGGAGATTTCGGGCGAGCTGTTCCAAAAGCTGCACAGGTTCTGCAACGTGACCAGCACGACCCCGTTTGCCGTGCTTCTGGCCGCGTTTCGTGCTGCGCATTACCGACTCACCGGGGTCGACGACGCCGTCGTGGGCACGCCCATTGCCAACCGGAACCGGCCCGAGCTGGAGCGCCTGATTGGTTTCTTTGTCAACACGCAATGTATGCGCATCACCGTGGACGATGATGATACATTTGAGGGCTTGGTACGCCAAGTCCGTAGGACAACGACTGAGGCTTTTGAAAACGAAGATGTCCCCTTTGAACGCGTCGTGTCCGCCATGCTACCGGCAGGAGGAGGATCCAGAGATTTATCCCAGACGCCCCTGGCACAGCTCATCTTTGCCGTGCACTCGCAAGAAAATCTAGGCAAGTTTGAGCTAGAAGGTCTCGAGTCGGAACCTGTGGCGAACAAGGCATATACGCGCTTTGACGCTGAATTTCACCTGTTCCAAACTCGTGACGGATTAAACGGCTACTTGAACTTTGCCGCGGAATTGTTCAAGCTAGAGACGATGCAAAATGTCGTCAGCGTCTTCTTACAGATTCTACGCCATGGACTGGAGCAGCCTAAATCCTTGATATCCGTTTTGCCGCTTACTGACGGGTTAAAGGAGCTCGACAGCATGGGCCTCTTGAAGATTCATCGGGGGCTTGAATATCAGCGAGACTCTAGCCTAGTCGACATCTTCCGCAGCCAGGTTGCTACTTGTCCTGATACAATTGCCGTCATTGACTCATCATCACGTCTGACGTATGCTCAGCTGGACCATCAGTCCAACCTACTCGAGGCCTGGATTCGCCGCAAAGGCTTGCCGGCCGAATCATTGGTTTGCGTGCTTTCACCACGGTCCTGCGAGACAATCATCGCCTTTCTTGGTATTCTCAAAGCAAACCTTGCATACCTGCCGCTTGATCCAAAATCCCCCGTCTCTCGTATGAGAGACGTCCTGTCCGATTTACCACGTCACACAATCATCCTGCTTGGCTCCGACGTGGCCGCCCCCGACTTGGAGCTACCTTGTTTGCAGCTCGTACGCATTTCTGACGCCTTGAAATCTGGTGCAAGCGTAGTCAATGGCAGTGAGACGACAGACCTGTCGCCTCCGTCGGCGAAAAGTCTTGCATACGTTTTGTACACGTCAGGGTCGACTGGGCGACCAAAGGGCGTCATGGTTGAGCACCGTGCTATTGCACGCCTTGTGCAGCGAGGCGTGATACCAAACTTTCCCCCGTTGCGAGGAGCAATCATGGCACATCTATTCAATACCGTCTTTGACGGCGCGACATATGAAATTTTTCTCATGCTTTTAAACGGCGGCACGTTGGTCTGTATTGACTATCTGACCACATTGAGCCCCAAAGCACTCGAAACCGTCTTCCTGAGAGAAGGAATCAACTGTGCAATCATGACACCAGCGCTGCTTAAGCTGTATCTAGCCAATGCCCGCGATGGCTTAAAGGGACTCGACATGCTCATGGTCGCTGGAGACCGGTTCGATCCGCAGGACGCAGTCGAGGCACAGACTCTGGTCCGCGGTGACTGCTACAACGCCTACGGCCCGACCGAGAATGGAGTAATGAGTACCCTGTACAAGATTGATACAAGTGACCCCTTCATCAACGGCGTCCCTCTAGGTCGCGCTATAGACAACTCTGGAGCCTACATTGCCGACCCAAATCAGCAGCTTGTCGGCCCCGGCGTTTTGGGAGAGCTCATCGTCACCGGAGACGGGCTCGCTCGGGGGTACACTGACCCAGCACTCGACAGAGACCGATTCGTACAAGTCATCATTAATGGCGAGTCTGTCAGAGCATATCGGACCGGAGACCGCATGCGCTACCGTGCAGGCCAAGATGGCCTTTTCGAATTCTTTGGACGCATGGACTTTCAATTCAAGATTCGAAGCAACCGCATCGAGTCGGCCGAGGTGGAAGCTGCCATTCTCAGTCATCCTCTGGTTCGCGATGCAGCCATTGTTGTTGTTGGTGTCCAAGAGGAACAAGAGCCGGAAATGGTTGGGTTCGTTGTTGCTGCTGACGATGCCGTTGAGCAAGAGGCCACAGACAACCAAGTCGAGGGTTGGCAAGAACTGTTTGAGAGTAGCATGTACAACGGCATCGATGCAATAAGCCCGTCTGCTCTCGGCAAGGACTTTACAGGGTGGACGTCCATGTACGATGGAAGTGAAATCGACAAGTCGGAGATGCAGGAGTGGCTCGACGATACGATACGTACTCTACGCGACGGTCAGGTACCGGGGCATGTCCTGGAGATTGGAACCGGTACAGGCATGATCTTGTTTAACCTCGGCTCTGTTGAGAGCTACGTAGGTCTGGAACCCACCAAGTCCGCGGTCGAGTTTGTCAACAAGGCAATCAAGGCCCTGCCAAATCTCGCAGGAAGGGCCGAGGTTCACATTGGCACCGCCACAGATATCGACCAGCTGAGCGGACTGCGGCCAGACCTTGTTATACTAAACTCTGTGGTTCAGTACTTTCCCACAGTAGAATATCTGACACGGGTCGTGGACGCTCTGGTCCGGATACGCGGCGTCAGGCGTCTCTTCTTTGGTGATGTGCGATCACAGGCGCTACACCGACAGTTTCTTGCTGCCTGTGCGATGCATGCACTAGGCAAGACGGCAACCAGGGACGACGTGCGGAGATACATGGCAGAGCGGGAGGAGCGGGAGGAGGAGCTGCTCGTCGAGCCAGCCTTTTTCACAGCACTGACGAGTCGACATCCCAATCTGATCCAGCACGTCGAGATTCTGCCCAAGAATATAAGGGCCACGAATGAGCTGAGCGCATACCGCTATGCAGCCGTCGTCCATCTACGTGATCCGGAGTCTGCGGCGCGGCCAGTGTATCCGATTGCGGCAGACGACTGGGTCGACTTTCAGGCCTCCCAGATGCGCAGCGACGTCCTTCGAGAATATCTGCGTCTCTCGGCCGGCGCCGATACCGTAGCTGTCTGCAATATTCCGTACGAAAAGACCATCTTCGAGCGACTGATTGTCGAGTCACTTGATGACACCGGCAGTGACGCGCCACAGAGTAGGCTGGATGGCAGGTCACTGGATGGCGCGCCCTGGATATCCGCCGTCCGCTCCGACGCCGAGAGCCGGGCATCCCTCTCCGTGCCGGACCTTGCGCAGCTAGCCGCCGAGTCTGGCTTCCAGGTACAGGTGAGTGCCGCACGACAGTGGTCGCAGAGCGGCGCGCTGGACGCCGTCTTCCACCGCCGCCACGCGTCGTCCTCTCAGCCGACTATGCGCACACTCTTCCAATTCCCCGACGACAATGAACTGCGAGCTTCGGCGACCCTGACGAACCGACCGCTGCAGCGGCTGCAGAGACGTCGCGTCGCGGCGCAGATTCGGGAACGGCTGCAGACCCTGGTGCCGTCGTACATGATTCCTGCCAAGATTGTGGTGCTGGACCAGATGCCTCTCAACGCCAATGGCAAGGTCGACCGCAAGGAGCTGGCTCGTAGAGCCCGGACGACGACGACGACGATGACGAAGAAGAAGCAGCCGCAGCGATTGGCGTCGGCGCCAGCTTGTCCAATCAGCGACATTGAGGTTGCGCTGTGCGAGGAGGCCACGGCAACGTTTGGAATGCAAGTCGACATCAGCGATCACTTTTTCAAACTCGGCGGTCATTCTCTGCTCGCTACAAAACTCATATCCCGCGTCGGCGACAGACTGAAAGCGCGCCTGACGGTCAAAGATGTCTTTGATCACCCAATCTTTTCCGAGCTTGCGGTTGTCATACGCGAGGGGCTGCAAAACGTCGTGCCCGTGGCTTTGAATGGTGGTGGACAGGCAAAGCAAGGGTCGGCGGGAGTAACGCCGCGTAACGAGATGGAAACGATGCTGTGTGAGGAGTTTGCCAATGTCCTTGGCATGGATGTCGGAGTCACGGACAACTTTTTTGACCTCGGCGGGCATTCGCTCATGGCGACAAAGCTGGCAGCGCGGATTGGGCGTCGATTGAATACTACCATATCAGTGAAGGAGGTCTTTGAACACCCAATTGTGTTTCAGCTCGCCAATTCCCTAGAGCTGGGTCAGTTGGAAAGCGACAGAGTAAAGCAGACAACGTTGGCCGATTACACTGCGTTTCAACTCTTGTCTGTTGAAGATTTGCAAGGCTTTCTTCAAAACGAGATAAGCCCTCAACTTGAATGTGCACATGGCGGTGTTCAAGATGTATATCCAGCCACGCATATGCAAAAGGCCTTTTTGTGCGACGCATCAACCGGACATCCCAAGCCTCTTGTGCCGTTCTACATTGACTTTCCCCCTGACTCAGACTGTGCTACTCTGGTCGAGGCGTGCTCATCTCTGGTGAAGCGTTTCGACATGTTCAGGACAGTGGTCGTGGAAGCTGCAGGCAAACTGTATCAGGTCGTTTTGCAGCACTTTGATTTACAGATTAATGTCGTCGAGACGGAGGAAAACGTCCACGCGGCGACGAACGATTTCGTGGACAGAATTTTGGAGGTGCCCGTCCATCTCGGGCAACCACTGATACAATTCACCATTCTCAAGCAGGCGTCTTCAGTACGAGTCTTGCTTTGTCTTTCTCACGCCCTCTATGATGGCTTGAGTTTGGAGCACGTCGTGCGCGATCTGCACATGCTTTACAAAGGCCGGTCCCTGCTGCCAGCGAATCAGTTCTCACGGTACATGCAATACATGGACCACACGCGCAAAGCCGGCTGTGACTTTTGGCGCGATGTCATACAAGATACGCCAATCACTGTGCTTGGCCATGTCGATGCTGGTGGCCGTGAGCTAGAAGTGGAAGCAGCGCGGACATTGCACGCGACAAAGATTATTAGCATTCCTCTGCAGGCTGTCCGCAGCAGCATCATTACGCAGGCGACAGTCTTCAACGCTGCCTGTGCTCTCGTGCTGTCTCGAGAAACCGGCGCCAAGGACGTCGTGTTTGGCCGGATCGTGTCGGGGCGGCAAGGCCTGCCGGTGAGCTGGCAAAACATTGTCGGGCCGTGCACCAATGCCGTACCGGTGCGCGCCCGGATCATTGACGACGACGACGACGACGACAACCACCGGCAGATGCTCCGCGACATGCAAGACCAGTACCTCCTGAGCCTGCCGTTTGAGACGCTCGATTTTGACGAGGTCCGACGCAGCTGCACAAACTGGCCGGCGACGGCCAACAACTACGCGTGCTGCGTGACGTACCACGACTTTTCATACCACCCAGAGAGCGAGATGGAGCAGCAGCGGGTCGAGATGGGCGTGCTGGCCAGAAAGGATGCGCTGCTCAAGGAGGAGCCCGTGTACGACCTGGGCATCGCAGGAGAGGTTGAGCCGGATGGCGTGCACTTGCAAGTTACCGTGGTCGCAAAGACGAGGCTGTTTAGTGAAGAGAGGGCCGCATACCTGATGGAAGAGGTGTGTAGACTGTTTGAGAGTCTAAACTCGGCTTTGTGAAAGATGTTTGGCAGCGCGGGGGATTTGACCCGGAAAAGGCACATAGTGGGAAGTGGGTAACTGGGGGTGTACCTTCTTGGCACTACGGATTGAAAAGGCCCTAGTTAAAATATTTTTAGGGCATGTGATGTTTCCTTGATTATACCAGTAATACCGAATGAATAATGAGTAATGATCAAGTGAAATAGAGAGATGGAACCAAGTTTTTACTCTTGATCGGCCATGTCCACGTAACTTGTTTGCCACCCCTAATTGGCAGCTTAGGGCGAGCCATCGTATTTGCCGGAGGTGGAGGGTGTATCGCTCCGGTATTACAAGCAACACGGCGGCCGCCCTGCAGTGTGACATGTAACGCATTTTTTATGCATGTGCTGCCGACTACGCAGCATTGTACCAGTTTGTACACCGTGTTTTGTAAATACGGAGTACTCTGTAATAAACTGTCACTTTGGTATTCTTACTTTTTACACAAGTGACAGATTCTGGCCCTTGAAAAAAGCCCGTCGCATGTTTTGAGACTAGGGCTTGCAGGCCGAGAGAAACATGCCTTTTGGCGCCTGCACTGTCTCAAGACGGAAAGAAAGGACTGGAAATCTCACAAATCTCACCAAGGGGAAATGGCATCTTTTTTCTAGCAACATCTCCTAACTAAATATTTACTAGGTCTTTTTTTTTTTGTCGGTCCCCGCTGTGCATAGCTCGATTTGCTTGGTGGAATGGGGCGATGGACGATGGATGACCCCAACGATGGAACGAGTGACGTCGGCGACGTTGTCTACTTGGTACAGACTGCGGCCAAGGAAGAAATACGGCAAACTTAAGAAACAAGAGGAAAAAAAAAAAAAAAAGGAAATAGTCCAAAACGAGGTCCCGATTTAGAGATACGGTCGTCGATCACTTCAGGCATTTGGACTGACTCCGCTGTGAACAAGGCGTGTGCGTGTCGTGGCGGCGCCAAGTCAACAACAAAACAGCGAGGGCAAATACGAGGGACAACACTGGGCCTGGAAATAGCCACAGATCGCTGATCCCAGTGGTCCCTCGGTTCATTGGTATTCATGCGCATTGATTGTTTGCAGTGCTTTGCTGGTTTCCTTTTTTTTTTATTTTTTCTCCTCCTGCGGTTTCTTTTAGATTTGCCTTTCTGGTACGGAAGAGCGCAGCCAGTCGGCCCATCGCGAATTAATTGGGCGAGGGAAAAATTAGTACTGGTAATAAATGAGAAATGAGCAAGGGGATTGGCTGGAGCATGTGCAAACTAATTTTTCTAGCCAGGGGAGGGGCAAAGACGCCAGGCAGAGTTGGGTAATAGCGTGGTAAATTTATTTTATTAGGGGGAGCTCATTTCCAATTTGCATCCCGTCTGACGGACCGGATTGGAAAAAAAGAAGCAAAAAGCCCATCATTTCTCTCCCCAGACAAGCCTCCTCCCCCCCCCCCCCAGAGAGGGCCAGACAAGCCTCTCCGGACAAGCCTTCCCCTGCGTACATCTCGAAGGAGAGACAAAACAACCAGATTGATGAGCGACACAGCGGCAGCTGGAAAGCCTCTTTTTGCTCGAGCTCTGGGGAAAACGAGCTCTTTAGCCCCCCCCCATGTCTCCAGCTTACGCTAACAAACAGCTAATTACAATGCCATCACACGCTTGGCCCGCAGGAAATATCCGTGCCTGCAACCCTGCCACCTGCGAAACGTCAAGGTACTGTACATGCCCATGCCGTTGCAGACAACGGTTGCGATCGACGAATACTGGCACTGGTCAACTGGTATTTATTAGCTCACAACGCCAAGAAGGTGCTTGGAGTCTTTGGGGCGCCATCTTGGCCCTTTGTTGCGGGTAGTCGGTGGTGACCTTGCAACGGGTCCAAGCTTCGTCATGTTAGACGGCCTTTTTGCATGGAGACCTCGTACTATTGTCCACCTGCATTCGCCCCCCCGGAAATGTGTCGCCCAGTCACACACACACCCAATTCAGGTTGGCGGTGGCGCCGCTGAATGTACATACGGAGTAGTCATGATACGGAGCACAAAAAAGCTAATATAACTAGAGGCCCAGCCCGCGTCCTCCCCCCGACGTGCCCCCTTCCCCCTTCCACATCCCGTACCGCTCATACATTCGTTATATCAAGCCATTCGCTGCTTCGCTTTGCCTTTCGTTTAATCATCGTCTAATACCCTAAATATCACCAACCTTAATACCATTATCAAAATGCGCTTCACTGCTGTTCTCGCTCTCGGCGCCGCCGCCGTCGTCTCGGCCCAGTCCTCCACCACCAGTGCTTGGGCTCCCACCTCCTCTCAGGAGGTTTGCCTGAAGAACTGCAACGGCGACGTCAAATGCTCGGCTCGCTGTGCCGGTGTAAGTATCCAACCCTCGCTACACGAGTGGCTCATTTTGCACATGCACGAGGCCCAGATCTGTCTGGGCGAGCAGGGCATGGTCCCTGACAAGACAAGCCCGCGAACCCCAATCCACTCCTACTCGGGATTCCTTCTTCCTTTACTTGCTTCTCGAGGCTGACACATTTCTCTGTAGGTCCCTTACCCCGACGAGAGTCAGGTCAACCAGACCACCGAGTGCTCGGCCAAGTGCCCCCAGGGTGACGGCAGCCCTGCCCAGACGGAGGAGTTCGCCAAGTGCCTGAAGGCCTGCAGCGACAAGTACTACTTCACTCCGGGATCTGGCACTCCCGACAACGGCTCCTCCGGCAACTCTGGCAACTCTGGCTCCAGCGCCAGCAGCTCCGTCGCCGCCACAGCCTCTAGCGCCGCCTCCAGCGCTGCTTCGAGCGCCGCCTCCAGCGCCGCCTCCAGCGCCAGCTCCCAGGTCAGCGCCGCCTCTAGCTCTGCCTCCAGCTCGGCCGCCTCTGCTTCCCAGAGCGCCTCCAGGACCTCGGGCGGCTCCTCGGGCTCGTCGACCACCTCCGCCAGCTCGACCGCTTCCTCCACCCAGAACGCCGCCGCTGGCCTGACTGGTGTCTCCGCCGCCGGCCTCGGTCTCGTTGCTGCCCTCTTTGCTCTGTAAATTATGCCGCGTCTTGTTTCATTGTTGATTTACGTTGAGCTACGTCACGTGCTTTCGATGTGGCGTGAGGATGTAATGCGATCAGGATGTTCAAGGGGCAGCGGGCCAGGGGTGGACTGGCAAGTCGTAATTGGCAAGTCACATATAGTTGCTTGATCTGGGGTCGCAATTTGCGGCGCCAGGCTTAATACATCACGGTTCATCTCGGGACTTGTTATGCTAGCTTCACGAATAGCTCCATCGCGCGTGAGTTCTCCTATACGCAAGATGCCGTCTTGTGAACCATTTGAGCCCCAAGAAATTCCTCCCGCAACCTGCAGTGGCCAAGCCATCTTCTGGATATTCCGATCGTAGTGTTTATTAGTCACTGCGCTACTCTCGGCGGCGATCTAGAATTCCGAGATGCAATGTCCGTGCCAGGCTAGCTATCCACAGCGATTCACCTGGCGGGTGTAGTGACAGCCCTTGACTCTTCCAATCTGATAAATGTCGAGTCACGATGTATCAACGGCATCTAGATTGTCGAGAGCCAATTAGCAGTCGTCTCTTGTCAAAAAGCAAACCGCCATCAGTGGCATGCCATCGGGAGCTTTGCCCAGGCGAGTATTTGAGTGTGGAGAGCTGGCCGATGGTGGCTGTGGGACAAATTTTGGAAAGAGGTTGATGAGAGAACCTGGAAATGGGCCCCTTAATAATCTTAGTCGAGCCTACGTGTGTTTTACAGTTATTCGAAGGCAAACGCCCACAAGCGCATTTCTGTTGAAGTGCATGACTCGTCCGCGAGTGTCTGGGTAGATTTGATTTGGCAATTATTGTTCATGCGCGACATCTGTCCATTGACTGCTTCACAGGCAGGCACACGTGGCCTGGAGAGTCTTCGAGGTGAGCCAGAGGTGAATGCACGAGTGCTCCACTACAATAGCTCTTTGGGGCAGGTAGTAACTACCAATAGCAACTGGTGCTCCTGCCATTCTGGGCGTAGGGAAGAGTCTACCAGTCAGCAGCAGCGAGGACAAAGAATTGCTGCTATTCGTACTCAGTAAAGACAGAAGTTGCAGCAGTGTTTCCAGTAGCAAACAAAGTTCAATGTGCATTTTTGTCGTATCAATCCGGTTAACACGGACCCATCACAATCTGAGGCGGCTCCTGGGAGCGGGTTTCGATAGCATTCTACCAACATCCCGGCGAAAAGGGCCACTAGAGACCAGGTATCTGCCGCCGTACCTAGGCTCCTGTAAACGCGCTCTGGGACACCTGGGCCACTTTCGAATTCTGTTAGCACAGGGCGGCTCGCGCTGAGAAACGGCTAAATTGTTAATAGAGAGAGCTAAAGACGCACCAAAGATGCACCAAAGGAGTACCAAAGAGGAGCCAAAGAGGCACCAGAAAGGCCCCGAAAGGCCACAAGATGGCAACATGGAAGTCCCCACCCGGTTGTAGCTCAACCAACCCCCGCATAAATTTTAGGGTCCTCAAATCAACGTGTCCTTTATGTCGGGGTAGCTTTCCTCATCTAAGACCCGAATTCCTTCATCGTTTGTCTCTTCTCTTCCATCTCTCTTCTTCTGTCCAACCTCACCCTTGGTATTTCTCTCTGCCCTTTTGAGCGCTGGGTCGTCATTGGCACATTTCTGCCCATCTGCCAGTTTCTCTTTTGATTCCCCCCTCTGTCTCCCCTTTCCCTGGCTCATCTGTCCACATTTCGCATCATGAAGTTCAACTCTGTTGCCGCTGCCACTGCGGCCGTCGTGCTCGCTGGAGTCGCTCACGCTGACGAGGCTGAGGCTTCGCCCGTTGCCGTTGAGCTTCCCACCTTCACTGTGAGTCTGCCTCGTCTCAATGGCAACAGTCGCATCGTCGCCGCCGATTGCCACCTAAAAGCACACCTCGCTGACTCTACCTTCCTCTAGCCCACCGCCATCAAGGCCGACTTCCTCGAACAATTTACCGATGATTGGGAGAAGCGCTGGAAACCTTCCACCGCCAAGAAGGATATGAAGGGCGCCGACAAGGAGGAAGAGGAATGGGCCTACGTCGGTCAGTGGGCTGTTGAGGAGCCTACCGTCTACAAGGGCACCGAGGGCGACAATGGTCTCGTTGTCAAGAACCCTGCCGCCCACCACGCCATCTCCGCCAAGTTCCCCAAGAAGATTGACAACAAGGGCAAGACTCTCGTCGTCCAGTACGAGGTCAAACTTCAGAGTAAGTTAACGTCACTCGATCCATCGCCGCGCAATCGCTGACCCGGCTTCGCAGACGGCCTCGAATGTGGTGGTGCCTACATGAAGCTTCTGCGCGACAACAAGGCCCTCCACCAGGACGAGTTCAGCAATGCTACTCCCTACGTCATCATGTTTGGTCCCGACAAGTGCGGCCACACCAACAAGGTGCACTTCATCTTCAACCACAAGAACCCCAAGACTGGCGAGTACGAGGAGAAGCACCTCACCTCCCCCCCTACGGCCAAGATTGTCAAGACAACGGAGCTCTACACTTTGATTGTCAATCCCAACAACACCTACGCCATCCGACAGAACGGCGAGGAGGTCAAGTCTGGTTCTCTTCTCGAGGACTTTTCTCCTGCCGTTAACCCTCCCGCCGAGATCGACGACGAGAAGGATACCAAGCCTGAGGACTGGGTTGATCAGGCTCGCATTCCTGACCCCGAGGCCAAGAAGCCTGAGGACTGGGATGAGGAGGCACCCTTCGAGATTGTCGACGAGGATGCTACCAAGCCTGAGGACTGGCTCGATAAGGAGCCCCTCACCGTCGCTGACCCCGAAGCTCAGAAGCCCGAGGATTGGGATGATGAGGAGGATGGTGACTGGGTCGCCCCTACCGTTCCTAACCCCAAGTGCGCCGATGTCTCTGGCTGTGGTCCTTGGGAGAAGCCCCTGAAGAAGAACCCCGACTACAAGGGCAAGTGGACCGCTCCCTACATTGACAACCCCGACTACAAGGGACCTTGGGCTCCTCGCAAGATCAAGAACCCTGCCTATTTCGAGGACAAGACTCCCGCCAACTTTGAGCCCATGGGAGCTGTAAGTGTTTTTTAACCTCAAAACGTCAACGACTTTGACTGACCATTCTCAGATTGGTTTCGAAATCTGGACCATGCAGAGTGACATCCTCTTTGACAACATCTACATTGGTCACTCGGTAGCCGACGCCGAGAAGCTTGCTGCCGAGACATTTGCTCCCAAGCACGCCGCCGAAAAGGCTCTGGCTGAAGCTGACAAGCCCAAGCCTGAGGACCCCAAGTCGCCCTCTGACCTCAAATTCCTCGATGACCCTGTCCTCTACGTCCGCGAAAAGGTTGATCTGTTCCTTACCATTGCTCAGCGCGACCCCATCGAGGCCGTCCGATTCGTCCCCGAGGTGGCTGCTGGTATTGGCGCCATTCTCGTCTCCTTCATTGGTCTTGTCCTTGCCCTCATTGGCTTCGGCAGCGGCGCCGCTCCCGCTCAGGGCAAGAAGGCTGAGAAGAGCAAGAAGGAGGAAGGCTCCAAGGCCACCACGACTGGTGCCGATAAGGGCAAGGGTGAAGCTACTAAGCGTAATACCCGTAGCCAGAACTAGAGCACATGTACAGATCTGAGATGGGGGTGAAGGGCTGTGAAAGGCATGACGAGGCGGAATACCAAAATGAAATTACTTGTGATTAAAGCTGGAATTTGAGATGAAGCCAGATGTGTACGTTTGCACGACGCAATGTTTTAAGCCATCAAGTTAGAGCTGTGTGGGGATGCTAGTTGGCAATTTTGCCAGAATTAGAAACTAGGAAATGTGATTTTGATTGATTCAATCTCCGAGGGGTATTGCTGAAGCCATGTTGATAAGTAACTTGTCAAGACGAAAATGTGTCACTTGTAAAGATAGAGTTCAAAGTCGCCAAGCTTCGCAAGGGACCAGGATTTCCGAGAAATACCAGTGTGCCTTGAAATTGCTCCGCTTGTTCCACCTTGAGTCAGATCTGGGTAGATGCGCCCTCTGGGTAACTTGATGGGTAGCCCGCATGGTGTCTACACAATCGTCATGGTGGCTCACGACCAGCCAACAAACAGAGAGAGCGTCGGTCGAAATGTTGAAGCCATCGTGGGCGGATAGCCAGAGCAACCCCCCTCGCCCCCCGTCGTGCCGGTAACGGAGGGAAAAAAAGCGAGACGGCCGCTGCATTCAAGTACAAAACGGGCTGCGCCCTCGCCACCGCGGAAGCCGGCGGCCTAGCAAACTGTGTGGGTGAAAAGGCTGGGGGGCCCCACAATGTTTCTCGAATACCCCGACCGTAACCGCGCCTTCTGGTACTTGTAAAACGTTCCGACCCCACGGCCGGTCTGGACAAAGAACAAATTCCCGCCCCAGATAAGAAGGCCCCCAAAGGTCCTTTCCTTTTCTTGTTCTTTGCTTTTCAAGATTTTTGTAGGTTGTTTTCCTCTAACCATCTTCACCATATCCTACAATCCTTTCTAGCGATTGGAACGCCAATCGACTCCGTTGATTGTAAAGATGCGTCGGCTCATCTCCCGCAGCGTCTCTGTCAGCGCCGCCACCCGCTCGCCCGCCTCGTCTGCTGCTCCTCGCTCCTCGCTCGCCGCCATGTCGTCGTCGTCGTCGTCGTCAAGCAAGAGCAGCCAGGCCGCCGTGGCCGCACGACGCATCCACGCCACGGCCCGGCAGATGCGTCCTGCCACCGCCGCCGCCACCCTGACCTCGACCGCCACCAGCTACCCGACGACGCACGACAAGATTCAGTCGGTCGAGGACACGCCATACTTTGTCGACAACAAGTTTGTCCAGTCCAAAGCGTCCAGCTTTATTGATCTGCCCGACCCGGCCACCAACAACCTCGTCACCCGCGTCCCGCAAATGACCGACGAGGAGATGAAGGCCGCCGTCGCCAGCGCCGAAAAGGCGTTTGAGACGTGGCGCAACACGTCGGTGCTGCATCGCCAGCAAATCATGTTCAAGTTTGTCGCCCTCATCCGCGAGAACTGGGACCGCCTCGCCGCCAGCATTACCCTCGAACAGGGCAAGACCTTTGCCGACGCCAAGGGCGACGTCCTGCGTGGTCTGCAGGTCGCCGAGGCGGCTTGCGGCGCCCCCGAGCTGCTCAAGGGCGAGGTGCTCGAGGTTGCCAAGGACATGGAGACAAGAACCTACCGCGAGCCATTGGGCGTTGTCGCCGCCATCTGCCCTTTTAGTAAGACGAACATGACCATGTATAATTGTCCAGCCCTCACTAACTGATTCACCTAGACTTTCCCGCCATGATTCCTCTCTGGTGTATCCCTATCGCCACCATCACCGGCAACACCCTCATTCTGAAGCCCTCGGAGCGCGACCCCGGCGCGGCCATGATTCTGGCCGAGCTCGTGCAAAAGGCTGGTTTCCCCGACGGCGTCGTCAATGTCATCCACGGCGCGCACAAGACGGTCGACTTTATCCTCGACGAGCCCGCCATCAAGGCCATTAGCTTCGTCGGCGGCAACAAGGCCGGCGAGTACATCTTCTCGCGCGGCTCCGCCAACGGCAAGCGCGTGCAGGCCAACCTTGGCGCCAAGAACCACGCCGCCGTCCTGCCCGACTGCAACAAGAACCACTTCATCAACAGCGTCGTCGGTGCCGCCTTTGGCGCGGCCGGCCAGCGCTGCATGGCCCTCAGCACCCTCGTCATGGTGGGCGAGACCAAGGAGTGGCTGTCCGAGGTGGCCGAGAGCGCTCAGAAGCTCAAGGTCGACGGCGGCTTCGAGGACGGCGCCGACCTCGGCCCCGTCATCTCCCCGCACAGCAAGGATCGCATCGAGAAGCTCATCGCGTCGGCCGAGAAGGAGGGCGCCACCATCCTGCTCGACGGCCGCGGCTTCGCGCCCACCAAGTACCCCAACGGCAACTTCATCGGCCCCACCATCATCTCCAACGTGACGCCAGACATGACGTGCTACAAGGAAGAGGTTTTCGGCCCCGTTCTCGTCTGCCTCAACGTCGACACCATTGACGACGCCATCGACCTCATCAACAAGAACGAGTACGGCAACGGCGTTGCCATCTTCACCAAGTCGGGTCCCACGGCCGAGACGTTTCGCCGCAACATCCAGGCCGGCCAGGTCGGCATCAACGTCCCCATCCCCGTCCCTCTGCCCATGTTTTCCTTCACCGGCAACAAGAAGAGCATCGCCGGCGGCGGCGCCAGCACCTTTTACGGCAAGCCCGGCATCAACTTTTACACGCAGCTCAAGACTGTCACGGCTCTGTGGCAGAGCAACGACGCCGTGGCCAAGAAGGCGTCGTTAGCTATGCCGACGCTGCAGTAAGGAGGAGGCGGCGGTGAAGAGGGAGGCTTGTTGTGTTTTTGATACTATGAAGTAGTTTTGCGTTGGCAGTGGAAATAGGTCAAAAATCAGCAAAGGAAAAAAAAAGCTCGATTTGTTATCAAGACTCTAGTTGTTGGCACGTGAAAGCAGTGACATGTGTGTGGTTATGCGTGCCATGATGTTGGCAATTTGCTGGAAGGTAAACGTACCATGATATTAAGTTGTATTGACCTACTTTTCTTCTACTGCATCAGAATAGAATAAAGGACAAATCTAAATTTTTTTTTTTCCTTTGGCATGTCGAATCGGCTGTGGTGAAGCGCTCATCAGACAGGACACCTTATTATCCCTTTTTTTTTTGGCTGTTGACTGGCCCGGGGAGTAATGATGCTGCGTCGCTGCGTCATTGACGGCGTGGAGGGCCGTCTTGTCGCGGGAATAAGCAGAGCACGCGCGTGGGTGAGTGCACCCTTGCAACACGAGAACAAATGAACCAGATCCGGATTAAACTGACTACCAAAAAAAAAACTTCATAATATAACTTGTTCAACGGTTGCCTATTTCCGTCCCGCGCACTAAACTGGATGGAGATAATTTTCAACATGGCAGCTTTCCATTGTGGAAACCACCTACCTAGTTTGATGGAAACCACCCACACCCTGTGATGGATACCGAATCATCTTGAGCAATCGATATACCCGAGAGCACATTGTCCATCTGAATATCCGCTCAATAAAAAGAAACAACAACAACAAGGTTTGTCTGTTGTATTTTTTCGAAATCTTAAAAAAAATCTATACTCTCAAAATAGCCTTTCCGCTACTGCTGTCGGCTTCGACCCCAAGGTTTATGCTAATACAACTCAATGCAAAAGTCACATGGCAGCTACTGCCGCCGCCACCTACGTCCACAATGACAAACGCGACACGGTCGATGCACTTCCTCCTACATACACCACCAGCACCAGCACGAGGACGAGGACGAGGACGACGACGAGCATGATACCCGCCGTCGTTGGGGCAGCTTAACCTTGTACAAGCTGCGCTCCGGCCCTCATCCCGGACCCGTCTCCGGCCGATAACGTCACCATCATCGACAGTCGCTACTACCACCACCACCACCACCATGGATCTCGCCGACTTGCCATACACCATCTTTGCCGAGATCATCTCGTACCTCGCCCCGCGCGAGGCCATCGCCGCGCGGCGCCTGTCCCGGGCCGTCTACGCAGCGCTGACCCGTGACGAGCTGTGCATCAGCCTGCTGCTGCACTATTTCCCCCGCGCCATCGAGTCCCGCGAACTGCGGCTTCTTCTGCGCCGCGGCGACCACGCCCTCCTCGACCGCGTGCCCTGGTCCCGCGCGCTGGCCGCGACCGCCCGCCGCTACCACCACCTCGGCACCGCGACGCCCCGCGTGACGGAAACGGTGCTCGCGCCCACGGCGGACAGGACCGACGACCACCTGCTGCGCGGCGTCACGCCCTGGCACCGCGTCCTGCGCCTCGACGACAAGACGGCCACCTTTCACTACTGGGACCCCTCGTGGACGTGCGACGCCGCCGCCGGCCTGCTCGTGCACCCGGTCGCGGGGCGGCGCTACGCCCTCCGGGACCTCGACACCGGTCGCACGTGGCCGGTGCCGTTTACGACCGAAGGCAGGATGGTGCGGCGTGTGCGCCTGAACCACGACACCTTGATCATTGAGTGGTGCGAGAAGCAGGCTATGCGCGAGGATGCCGGCGCGCACCGCCACTATGCCACGTTCTACGCCGTCGGGAGGGTACAGGGCAAGAGCGACGACCCCAGCCACCAAGAGGAGGATCTGTACACGGTGAGAAAATATGCAAAGGATAGACCCAGCAACGACGACAACGGAGAGGCGAGAGGGGCGGTATGCGCCGTGACGTTTCGCGCGGAATGGAAGATTCACCGTCTCGGCCTCTTGCTGCGCCACCAGGACCGCTTCTTTTCTGCGCACAACAGCACACACTACGCAATCTACATATGGCAGCCCTCGCGCTCGCCGTGGGGCGAGCACGAGCCGCGCGAGAGGCTCGTCATCTGGGAGATTGACGCCGCGGCGATTGGCGGCGGCCCGCACATTATTGCGCAGCTGGCCGACCCGCAACTCGATCACTGGGGCGTCCGGCAGCGCCGCACGCCCACGCTGCGATGCCTCCGCCTCGACGACTGCACCTGGGATCCCGCCACGCGCACCACCGTGGGACACGTCTTCTTCGTCGAGGAGGAGCACCGCTGGTCCGCCGGCCCCCACAGCAGCTCGACCCCGCCGCGGCTGCACCACGTCAAGTCAACCGGCATCCCGCTGACCGGCGGCCCGCGCTGGGTCGATGAGTGCGGCAAGGTCCAGCAGCCCGATGTGAGCCAGATGCAATTTTGCTGGCGTGGCACCCGACCGCCCGGGGGCGGCGGCGGCGGCGGGCCCGGGGGCGGCGTTGTGGATATGGAGACGTGGGCCGGCCGGTGTCCGTGCTGGCGCCACGACGACTTTCCGTATCTGACTGTCTGCGAGGCCAACGACGCCGCCGCCGGCGTGCGTTTCAGCGCCCGCCACTGCTTCATGCTCGAGACGCTGTCCGTTCACATCAAGCCCAGGCTGCGCATCCACGGTGTCGCGCGACCCGCTGAGCCCCGCCCGCGCCGCCCATCATCGTCGTCCTCGTCAACGACAACAACATCAAAGGCGAGCCGCAGCAATCTCGTCAAGCAGGCGCATAGCAGTAGTGCTGCAAGCAGAGAGGAACACCGACAGGGCGACGCCGACGAGCCGATCGACGAGGAAAGCGACGATATGTCGGATTGGTCGGCAGCGATGACCCGAGAGGTTCAATTCGAGGACGATGCCTGGTCAAAGCTCCTCAACGCAGGATACATTTGCGGCGACGAGAGGTGGCTGGTTGGACAAAATCCTCATGGTTCCATCACCATTATGCATTTCTAAATAGGTGTCTATTTTTTCTTGGCCTTTTTTGCTTCCATTTTCTTCGCATCTACATAGGGACACAGCGGCGTTCATTGATCTTCGTCAATTCGTAAGTGGACAGCGTATCGAGTCTTCAGCAAGAGGCGTCCTTTGCGAGGCATCGACACTCTGCGGATTTTTCATACAAGGTTCAGCCTTTGTCAACATGAGCTTTTGCAAGGCGTCGGGAAAATTTTGGTTTCAGATGGCAGAAATATATAGGTGCCAATTTTGAGAGCTGCAATATACAAGAAGTTGGGAGAATTTTGTGCCCACTACTTAGAGGGCTCATCTGGTAGCTTGAGAAATCCGCCATAATAATCGTCGAGCCACTTGGCGGCATTGGCACCAGATTCGTCGAGTCCAGCGTCCCAACGGCCAATGGAGCCAACGTAGCCGTCTGGTCGGACATTAATGATGGCAACTTCGCCTGGTGCCAGCCGCCCGAGCCACTTGTCTGTACAGCGTGCGCCGCGGGTATCCTGCGCGGGCACGTTGTCCAGGTACAGCGTCCAGCGGTTTTCTTGCAGCAGCGGAGGGAGGTCGGAAATCTCAAACTCTGACTTGGGCATCGATGCTGGCAGGCTGTGTTAGTAATGTGTCTTCCAGTGCTACTGGCTGCGCGGGCATGCTTACTGATAAGAGCGAATGTGAAAAGCTCGCTGGCTTTAACGTAACGCTCCGGGCGAGTATATACGTCTTCTGGGACTGATGGTCTCGGTTGGCGTGCGTACGACGCTGTCGCCGCAGCAGACAATGCGTTTACAAATGAGGTGCGAGAAGAGACGGAGTTGCAGAATGATTCGAGAAAGGTGGCAGATTGGAACACGTCCCAAGCGAAGAGATATATGCGGAATTGGCCCATCATGGGAATGTCGAGCTGGATATCTACCGGGTTGGCGTCAATGTAACGAGTGACCTTGGCTGGTGGAAGAATGCTCCCAGGACGCGCGGCTTCGGGGCAAGGAAACGCTGCCTCTTCGTGGCTGGCATAGGGCTGTGTGAGTATGCTGGGACCGTACTCGGCACCGATTCCGGAAATGAAGCGGACATTGAACAAAAAGTTTTTGGCCAGAGCAACAGCATCACCATTGGCAATCTGGTTGGCGTGCTCATAGTCAAAGTTGACGAGGTCGAGAGCCACCTTGCGGCGTTCTTCTTCGTAGCTAGCCATGAGTTCCGGGCGTGCGAAGCCACGGGCCGCGAGGTTGAGCTTCCATGCAAGATTCCACGAATCATGCATTGCCGTGTTCATGCCTTGTGCTGATTTGGGCGAATGGGTATGGCTGGCGTCACCTGCGAGGAAGACAGATGCTGACTCGTCACTGAAGCGACTTGCTAAACGCTGTCCAACTTGGTAGCGTCCAAACCACTCGATACAACTCCAGTCGATGTTGAATGGTGCCATGATTTTGCGAGCTTGTTCCATGACGAATGATTGGCCGAGATCATCGCCTCGAGCAAGGTCGGCAAGCGCTGTCGGTGATTGGCATGACTTGAGTTCGATGTAGAGTCGGGTCATGTTGCGTTCGCGTGGTACAATCAAGATGGACCCGTGCACTTCTGAATAGACAAGAGTCTTGGACCAAATGTCCGGAAAGTCTGTAATGAGCTCACCATCGAGCACGCCCCAAATGGCAGGCTGAGAAACACCAACGGCTTCGACACCAGGGATGGCCTTGCGGACTCGGGAGTGCGCGCCGTCGCCTAATTTCGTCGTTAGTTATATTGATGGGAAATATAGAGGTCAAAGCTTACACCCGACTAGGTATTGTGCCAGCAGTGGTTGACTCTCATCATTACCAACGCCCTTGTAATTGACTTGAAGAGAAGAGTTGCCGACCCTGGTTGGGAGTTGCTCATATGATTCGAAGGAAACATTTCGCAGAACTTCCTTGTTGCGCAAACGCATGTCGTCCATAAATAAATCCTCGACCATGCCTTGATGAGCGAGCAGGATGCATGGGTCGAGAACGTCAATTACGGGAGGATAATGAACTTCGCGACCTAACCGGTGGAGTTTCTCGGATGGAGTACTGCGCCAAAATGAAATGTCATATACTTTGACACCGCGTTGCAATAAAGTGTCGGCTAGGCGCATCTGCCGAAATGTCTCTATCGTCTTCGGTTGCAGTCCGTCGGCGCTGTCCACATGTAAGCAACGGATTAGAGCAAGGGCGGGACAGAAAGTGTGTAATTACCGGCCGACAGTTGTTTTCCCGTCTCTCTCATCTATCACTTGTACATCAATGCCAAACCTGGCGAGGTTACATGCCAGCATCAGACCCGCCGGGCCAGCGCCAACGACACAAACTTGACACTGGGGTGTGGAAGCCCTCGGCATTTGGAGGCGGGAAAGGGAAGCTGATACTTCGCCATTTGGGGATGGTGAATGGCGGAGAACTTGCTCTTCGCTGGGATGCTGCCCTGGAGACCTGACTGCCTGAAGAATGCCCGGCGCCATCATGAAATTTTTGTGTTTGGTACGGTATCGTGTAAAAAGGAAGCGGGTCGGATTGGGCGTTGGCAACACTAGCTCTCAAAGAAATATTGCGAGGGCGTGGAAAGAAGCGAGACGACAACTCGCGCAGCTGTTGGAAGATGCAACCGAGATTAATCAACAGAAAGGGCGGGTTGGTCGTTGCTCAGATGCTGCCTGTAAATACTCTTCGTGTGCGACAGCCAGCAAACGGAATTTGAGTTGGACTGGCAGGTAGGTTCGGTCGATTGCGGGAGTGGCGTGTAGCTGGATGGACCACCACTGATACACCACCAATATAACTGAATTTAACGGGGTTGGTGTCAAAACAGGCTCGGCGTGGCTTGAATAGTAGTTGTATCGAAGTTATTCATGTAGAAGTGAAAAGGGAGGAAAAAACAGGTAATCGACCGCCGGTGTCGCTTTCACGGGATGATGTAAGTGCGTCGTGGGGTGGAAGAAAGTAAGACGATAACAGTGTGGAATACCCCCCCCCCAAAAAAAGAAGGAAGAGAAAAAAAGATGCTGCTGCCAAGACGAAACGGCCACGAAAATGACCAGCAAACGAAAAAGAGAGGCCCCAAGAATAATAGGAGACTAAAGGCAGCGCTGGAGAGGGCCAAAGTGGAAATGGCCATCGAGAGAATCGTGAGATGGCATGATTTCTGGCGCGCGGTGGAGGTAAGACAGCCGTTTTTGGCCAAGGCTGGAATGGCTTGCAGCAGACAGGCTTGGGGCTCGACTTTTTAGCAAAAAAGTAAGCCAAGCGTGTAACAGAAACCCTGCGAATGGTCTGAATGGCAGGCAAGAGTGCAGAAGCGTTGACCAGTGGCCCCGGAAAAAAAAGCGCAGAGTCTAGTCAGTGTTGCTGCGGGCTGCTACTGAAAGACCACTCAGACCAGTGCCAGAGCAGTGGCGGGGCCGTCGCCATGTCAAAGTGGTCTGATTTTAGAGCCCAGCTGGACACTTTCGTCAGTGTCAAAGTGGCGCCATTATCTTTTGCCACGACATGTGTGCCGTCTTTGGGTCTGCGAGATGCCCTTTTTGATGCAAGCGCGGGGCCCGAAAAGCTCCGCCTTTTTGATATTGAGGTAATCAGAAATTATTCTCCTTTGGTTCATGCACACGAGTTAGCCCGGGGGTCCTTCCTTGGGTCATTGGGTCATTGGGTCAATGGGTCACCGTCAACGTTGGGAGCCACTGCGGGCGCTTGCCGCACCTGTTTGCCCTATCTCTAGGTTGCTGCCCTGCAGCACTCGTTGCAGTGACCTTTGTTGCAGTGAGCTGCAACTCAATATCGAGTCAAAAAGCATAACGCACGCTCGCCGGATGATTCGGATGCATTTTCCTGCCCGTAGCATGACCTCGTCATGGCTGGCACTGAGGTTGTAGGAGGAGAAAAAGGAGCACCCAAGGTAAGATTAAAAGTGTCAGCTGGCAGACAGACGGACAGAGTCCCTTTGCCAGCTGCCCGCCAGCCGCCCGCCAGCCGCCGCCAGCTGCGAGCCACTTTCCGGCCATAACCGTCAAGGCCTCACAAACAAATGACCCATATCAACGACTCAATTATTACAAAGTACGGATTACCATATAGGTAATTAATACCAGTAAACAAAGGGTTATACAATTTAGTTTCGGAGTTCGCTCAGCACATTGTTTCAGGCCCGCCCTCTTTATCCAGCTTCATCCTGCGAATATTATTCGTCTCAGGCCACGTGCACCGTGCCCTTTTTTACTTCGCCCGCCTCTTCCTCATCAAAGGACGCATTCACATCCTTAATCACTTGGCGGCCATTCCACTCGGCCATGTACTTGTCTCCATCGACGCGTGACTTGTAAGACAACCAGTCTGGCAGGACGCGCAGAAATGCGGCCATGGCGCCCGTCTCCGGCAAAATGACGTTGCCGCTTCGGCCGGTCAGGACCTGCTTCACAATACCTTCGGCCACGGTATCAACCTCCAGACTCGGCATCAGAAAATCGTTGCCCTGATTAAAACCTTGGAATAGAGGTGTTTTCACGTGGCCCGGGTGCACAATGACGGTGCGAACCTTGGGGGCATGGTATCGAGTGACGAGCTCCGCCGAAAGGCCCTCATGGAAAGCCATCGCTGCGGCCTTGGAAGCAGCATAGTCCGTCATAGCTGGTGCTGTGACCCACGAGGCCGCGGAAGCAACAGTCACAATCATGCCGTGGTTGCGCGCGACCATGCTGGGGAGGAATGCCTTGGCAAGCCAGTAGTGGCAGAGTGTGTTGACATCGAATGTGAAGCGGACATCACCAGGCTCCGAGTCGAGAATTGTTTTTCCCCTTGCGACGCCAGCATTGTTGAGTAGGACTGTAGGATGCCCGACTTCGATGCGTACTCTCTCCGCAACCTCTTGCACACTAGATGGGGAACGGAGATCGCACTTGTAGTGATGCACCCGCGAGGCTGCCTTCTGTTAGCTCCCATCCAGACTTTGTTGATACACTCTGAGCCACTGTATGCTTACAGGTAGCAAAGGACATTGGTTGAATGTCTAAAACCACAACCTTAATCGCCAACTCGTCAAAGAGCTTGACAACCTGGGCGCCGATGCCAGCCGCACCACCTGTTACAAGGACAATTTCGCGCGACCAGTCATATCGGTCCTTCACCCAGTTATTTCGAGACTTTTCCGACAGATACCTGGAAATTGTTCTGACGAGGCCCCAGTAGAAGAGTTTCTTGATGCCGCCGTACGCAGTTGGGTGCAAAATGCTCAGGTCGCTTCCGCGCTTGGTGTACCGCGCGAGTAGCAACAGCGGAAGCACCAGTGACGGGTTCAGCGCTGTTCTCGCAAACAGCTTAAAAATCGGGGCGCTGTAGAGGCCTTCTCGGGGGAGAAACCCCTGGTGCATAGGCATGATGAAGAATTAAACGTGTAGCGATCAATCCAGGCGCGGTCGGGGGCGATACAGCTACCGTTGCGGATAATTGGAGCGATGGGTTAGACGAAGGAGACGCTCTGCTGGCAGCGTCAGTAGGAATTAGACGGCGAGGTTCTTCCAAAGTGTATGGATAGCTAGCAGGTGATGATAACTATCTATGATTGATGATTTGATCAAGACAGGAGCGATGTCAGGGTTCATTGCCTTCTTGGGTGGCACTAGCACCTCGGCAAGCTCAAAAGTGCGGAGAAGCTCCTGTGCCGGTGGCACTACATAATACCGCTAACTCAAAAGAAAATGACAATATAAATCAGCCAACGGCCTAACAAGTTGTGTGCATTCTGCCCACCGGAGGTCCTAGAATGACCGAGCCCGACCGAGCCGGTCTGTAACTGTAACAGATAAGTCGACGGGAGAATTGGAATTAGTAGACTCCACGTCCGTAAGATCAGGACGCTAATCTGGGCGTATAGCCGAGCCCTGTCTTGAATTAGCCCAAGTTCAGTGTCGACCGAGTACATCCTGAAGGGGCTGTGCGGTTGCCGCCAGAGAACTCCGGTCTCAGACACGACCGAACACCCACAGGGCAAGACAGCACTAAGTACACCGAAGCTGGTAAGTTGGTACAAAGTTGACAGGTAACATACCGCCGGTTGACTCCACAAGGCACGTTCCGAAGCCAGCCTTTACCGGCCTATAGTTAATTACTAAGTTCTGACAGATCGGACTGCCTTGGCGAAGCCTGTGCACGCCGCGACAACTGCAGGAGTCGTTAATGACATAGCTAGAATCGAAAAGGCTTACTGAAAAAATGGGTGACTCATTCATTTCAGAGCATATACAAGTCGTGAATGGGCTGGTCGATCGGGGGTCTATCTAGCGTTCGTTGCGTTCAGTTTCATTCTGGCCCGGTCAAGCGGCAGGCGACCTCCTCCCCCTGCGTCGTCCTCGCTGGTCGTACGGCGCGCCGCCCGGCAGACGCTTTCGACTCGGCTCCGTCCATTGCGGTTTCATCATTGCTCTACATCGAGCGCGCCCGCTTTTCTACTTTGGGCTTTGGCTACGACTATTCGCCCGCCTAGCCTATGTTCGTTGGAGGACATGGACTGCACACTGTCTCAAGCTCGTTTGATAGGCTTCTCCAGTGCGCATGAAGAACCCATCGCCCTTGCGGGACAGTGACAAAACGATGGTCATCCCACAGCGTATGTAGGTCGCAACGTGATTAAAAACGCATTATCTGCTCAACGCGCATCAACAGAGAGGTCGGGGTTGGCCGCGTAGGTGACACCATTCGCACTGGTAAGTCTGGTCTCCTTATCCCCACCTCGTCCGCGGAGGCGGGCTCAATGTCCGGGCTATCGGCAGTCCATGTTTCGGGGAGGGTGATTGGACAGCGAAAGCTGACACACGACGGCACAACTGGACAGGGCAATGTGAAGTCGGGATACCCAGGATGTAAGAAGGCGACTCGCCGGCAGTCGCTGGTGCCAAACACCGGTCGGCGGGTCTCAGGGCATAAGAGAGACATGATGATGACTGTCATACGCCATTGGTGAATAACAGTACCTACGTAGCAAATGCCATAAAGGGCGGTCATGCCAGCGCAGCTGGAGTCTTTCCACTGTTGGTGTTGAGGGGCAGGCTCCAACGCAAGCGTCGCCCGCTAACTACGTGATTAGGTAGGCGTTGTGCTGAAACCTACTAGAACGAATTACCGCCAGTCACGAGCTATGAAAATGTGTGCTTGTTTCATGAGAACTAAAAATATTCGCTTGTTATATCCGGTTATCACCAGACTCATTAACAATATTTACTGTGGTCTGTATAGCCCACGGTGTGAAATCCGCAAAACGGTCAACCTGGCGCACTAACTAGGTAACTCCCTAATATTAAGCCTAATAGGTGCATTGATCAATGAATTTAGCGTACCGCCCGTCGTCTCCACAAGGCGCGCTCCGAAGCCCTGACCGTGCAATTCTCATCCTGTCTTTCCATCAATTCCGCGTCATCTCCGGGTTCCGAGTTTCACACAGAGTGCAGGCAAGATTCGTTTGTTTTGATACGTGACATCTTGAGTCAATACAATCGCAATCACGTGCGCAGCTGAGCGTTTTCTGTCATGAAGACAACCGTCCTGTGCCTGACGCGGGCGCAACGCCTCTGTGGCTCGCGTGCAGCCTGTCTATCCCGATTGAGTCCAAAGGCTGGTTTGCGATCTTTCTCAACCTCACCGGCTGCAGCTTCCGGACTCTGTGAGATTTTGTCAGTATCAGACGAGGTTGCTGAGGCTGTTGCCACAAACAAGCCCGTGGTGGCTCTCGAGTCCACCATCTACACACATGGCAAGCTGGGAAATGACCTCGCCAAGGAGCACCTCGACTTGGTCCGTAGCCATGGTGGCATTCCTGCTATCATTGCCATTGTCGATGGACGTCCCAAGGTCGGCGTTTCGTATCAAGAGATTCTGCGCATGATTGAGGACAAGGGTACGGTCAAGGCCTCTCGCAGAGATATTGCGTATTTGGTGGGAATGGTATAGTGAACCGGTCCAAATGCTAGCTGCCGAAAATTGTTGCTGAAGATTATAATAGGGTCTGAATGGGCGCAAAATTCATGGTGGCACCACCATCGCCGGTACCATGCTTCTGGCCAAGGCAGCTGGGATCCGCGTCTTTGGCACTGGTGGTCTCGGTGGCGTTCACCGCGGCGGCGAAACTTCCATGGATGTCTCTGCCGATTTGACGGAGCTAGGACGCACTCGAGTTGCCGTTATTGGCAGTGGATGCAAGGGGTTCCTCGATATTCCACGCACTCTCGAGTTTCTCGAGACGCAAGGCTGCTTGGTGTCGACCTTTGCGGATGGCCGGCAGGGCAGTGTCGATTTCCCAGCCTTTTGGGCCAGAGACAGCGGGATAAAAAGCCCTTCCACCGTGTACACGGAAAAAGAGGCTGCTTCCATCATTTACGCCCAAGAAAAGCTCGGCATCGAATCAGGCATGTTCTTTGCCAACCCTATTTCCGAGGAGCATGGCATTCCTGCGTCTGAGATGCAAGCCGTCATTGAGCAGGCTGTCAGAGAGGCCAACGAGAAGGGCTTTACGGGCAACAACAACACACCCTACATTCTGGGACGTCTTAGACAGCTCACCTCCGACAAGACGGTTGTTGCTAACAAAGCACTCGTGCACTCCAACATCATCCGGGCCACCAAGGTTTCTGTGGAGCTGTCCCGATTGTTGTCGCCCAGCTCAACCCAGACAGGCAGCTCGTAAGTGCCATTATCGACAGCATTATTACATAGTTGTCTAATGTAGCTTGTTAAATAGACCATTATCGCAGATCCCCGTCTCTGCCATTTCGCGTCCAACAGAAGCGACATCTGAGCCAGCACCTGCTCTGTCGCCTGTGTCAAACATCTTGGTTGCCGGCTCTGTTGCTGTTGATCTCAGCTGTGATTACTCAAGTCCTAAAACTGGTATTACAACGCCTCAGTCGCATGTGTCGAATCCTTCCCGCATTAGCCAGTCGATCGGAGGTGTCGGCCGCAACGTTGCTGTAGCCGCTCACCTGGCCAGTGGAGGCTCCGGAGTTCAGTTTTGCAGTATGGTAGGCGATGACGTGTAAGTCTGCGGCGCTGCTGCCATCTCATCTCTTTCGTTTCCATCATGCATATACTAAAGCCATGCCACAGGGCCGGCCACACTGTTCTCACTTCACTGGAGGCATCTGGTCTGGATACTTCATCGATTATGAAACTTGACCACCGGCAACATCCCGAAGGGCGCACTGCACAGTACGTCGCAGTCAATGATGGAAACAAAGACTTGGTGCTTGCAATGGCCGATATGAACATTTTCTCCAAACATTCTTTCTCAGACCATTGGCGATCTACTGTCGCCACCTCAAAACCAAAGTGGCTTATTGTGGATGGCAATTGGGCCCCTCCACAGATTCGCAATTGGATCAGAGCTGGCGAAGAGAATGGCGCGAAAGTTGCGTTTGAGCCAGTCTCGGCAGAAAAGTCACAGGGACTATTTTGCCCCGAACGCGGCCTCCCAAGACTCAACCTGTATCCTGAATCTAGCATCAGCCTGGCTTCTCCCAACACCTACGAGCTCGCAGCAATGCACACCGCGGCCAAGGAAAATGGCTATTTTGAACCAATGGATTGGTTTGAAGTCATTGATGCATTTGGAATGAGAGGCGCGCGAGACCGCTTTGTTCACCTTACCTCGGTGGAGCTCACTGACGCCGGCGTTCCTATCCAAACCATTCAGCTTCTCCCATATATTCCAACCATTCTGACAAAGCTCGGGTCCAAGGGCGTCTTACTGACGGCAATTCTGGGCAAAGATGACCCTCGTTTGCGAGATAGAGATGAAGAAGCATTCATCCTGACTCGCTCACCACCTACACATCCGGTAGTAGGTGGAGTTTACATGCGCCTGTTTCCGCCCGTAGAGACGGTGAAAGACATTGTATCTGTCAATGGAGTTGGGGATACTTTCCTAGGAGTATTAGCTTCCGGACTTGCACGAGGCGGCCGAGTCGACAAGCTGGTGGATGTGGCTCAGCGTGGAGCTGTTTTGACGTTGAAGAGCGCAGAATCTGTCAGTCCGCTTTTGGGCACCTTGACAGAAGAAGTACAGAATGCATCAAAGCGGTGAATAAAGGAGAATTGGAAACTCGGTCGTCTTTTGGTTTTTTTTTTTTATCTTTAGCATAGCGACTTGTCATTATTGTTGATAGAAGTAAAATCGTTAATACAGTGCCAAAATTGTCAGCCTCGCAGGAGTCAAAGGTGCTCATTGGGTAGTGCGTCTCTAGCTCCACATAAACTTCAGCGAGGCTGAGATGGACCACCAAAAAATTATTCGTTGCAAAGATGGCGAATGTTTTTGACCAGCTTTTCTCATTTTTGCGCAAAATACGCAAACACTGGTGCAGCGCAGCAGTGAAACATTCGGAACGACCATGGCGCCTTCAAAAAAGCAAGATCAGCCCTCCGACAGGGATTTCTCGGACAGCGAAATGTCCTCCGACATTGAGTCGAGCAGCAGCGACGTCGAGGTCGGTCAACAAAAACCAACGGGCGCGCTGTACGAAAAGGATGCAGACGAGGAAGAGCTGGAGAGACTAGTCCTTGGGGACACGGCGGGCTTCCGAACCAACTTATTCAAAGATGACGGCAAAGACTCCTTTGGCGGGCTGGGTGACGACGTGGACATGGACGCCGACACGGGCAACTTGGAAGAGGTGGACGACAACGACCTTTTCATGCTCGACAGCGCCGCGGCTGGAGCCAAGGGTCCCGTCACGATGGCTCCCAATGTGCTCAATGACCCCAACGCCCCGGTGTGGGTAGACAGCGACGATGAGCGCCTGGCCATCTCGCTGGCCGGCACGACGCGCCTGCGCAAGCTCCGGCTCACCGAGGCCGAAGATCTCGTCAGCGGCACCGAGTACTGCCGCCGTCTGCGTCAGCAATTCCTGCGTCTCAACCCTGCGCCCGCCTGGGCGCAGCAGGCCGAGGGCCGACCGGCCAAGCGCCGCCGCTCCTCTGCCGCGGCCTCCAACTCGGACTCGTCAGACAGCGACTCCGACCCCGACGACCACGGCCTCAGCGCCGACCCGCTCAATCGATTTCTGCGGAGCGCCGTTGGTCTGGGCGGCGTGGGCGGCAGCAGCGCAAAGGGCCCGCGTCGGCTGCGGCCCGAGGTGATTGACATTCAGCGCACGCGCGAGATCCCCGACAAGCACAAGGCGGCGGTGGCGTCGCTGTCGTTCCACCCGCAGTACCCGGTGCTGCTGTCGGCGAGCAGCGCGTCGATTCTGTACCTGCACCACGTGGCGCCCGACGCGCAGCCGACGCCCAACCCGCGGCTGACGTCGGTGCAGGCGCGGCAGGTGGACGTGCGGCGCGCGGCGTTTCTGTACCCCGAGGGCGACAAGATTGTGTTTAGCGGCCGCCGGCGCTACTTTCACACGTGGGACCTGCCGTCGGGCGTCGTCAGCAAGACGACGCAGGTGCTCGGCCACCGCCTCGAGCACAAGACCATGGAGCGCTTCCGCCTCAGCCCCTGCGGGCGCTACATGGCCGTGGCGGCGTCGACGCGTAAAGGAGGCGGCGTCGTCAACGTGCTGAGCGTCGCGTCGACGCAGTGGATCGCCGCCGCGCGGCTGTCGAGTCGTCACGGCGTCGCCGACTTTGCGTGGTGGAGCTCGGGTGACGGGCTCTCGGTGCTCGGCAAAGACGGCCAGGTCGGCGAGTACAGCGTCGAGAGCCAGTCGTTTGTCGGCGTCTGGCACGATGAGGGCTGCGTCGGCGGCATCGTCATTGCGCTCGGCGGCCACCAGGGCCCCAGCGCTCTCGGCGACGATCGCTGGGTCGCCATCGGTTCCAACAGCGGCATCACCAACATCTACGACCGCGCCGAGCTGCTAGCCGCGCCGGCCGCCAGGAACAACAACAACGACGACGATGAGGACAACAATCGACAAATGCTCAAGGAAAGGCCCGCGCCAACGCGCACGTTTGAGCAGCTCGTGACGCCCATCACGGCGCTCGCCTTCTCGCCCGACGGCCAGCTTCTCGCGTTTGGCAGCGAGCACAAAAAGAATGCCCTGCGGCTGGCGCACCTGCCCACGTGCACCGTGTACAGGAACTGGCCGACACAGCAGACCAACATTGGGCGCGTCACGGCGGTGGCGTTTGGCATGGGGAGCGACTTGCTCGCCGTAGGCACTGACACGGGCAAGATACGGCTCTGGAACATTAGGAGTTGAGGAGGATCAACGGGGGATGGCTCTTTTCTCGGCTACATGGTTACATACTTGATGAAAAGGATGAGACTCTCACAGCATTGGGCGTTTTCGGGGTACTTTTAGTCAAAAAGATTTTATAATTTTTTTTCTCATTACTATTTGTTTTCCAGAGTTGAAATCATGCTTGAGTTTGAATCATCATTCAGATCATCACATCATGCCGCTAGCCGTCATGTAGCAGTGTAATGGTAGTAGAGGAGCCGTCCTTTTCAGCCGGGCTGTCATCACCCGTCGCCCCGACTGACTTGCAGCCGTAGCATTGGATGCTCTTTATCGTCTGGTCTAGACCAACTCGGCGTCCATAGCCAGCACCAGCGGCCTCGCGCTGGACCACCGCATAATGACAACGTCCCCGTTTGCCGTCGGCAGTGTATTGTCCCTATCGGTGCCGCGCGCATGCACGTCCATGTCGCGCAGCATGCGAACAAAGACGGCGGCGTCCAGATCAGGCGCGTCAACCATGCTGATGTTGCCGGCCGTGTCGTTGAGATTCTGGAGCTTTTCGGGAAAGGAGCCGAGAAAGGAGGAGAGGTAGTGGTTGTGGAGGAGGGCCTGGTGGCGGGTGGCGTATGCGAGCTCCGTCGACGACAGGCGGCCGCGCAGCTCTTCGGTCGAGAGGTAGTGGAGGGTGTGTTTGTCAATCTGCAGTCAGGGACCGGGCCAATTAGCCAACTGGATGGTATTTTTTGGGGGGAAAGGCGGTGGACGAGGTTTGGTGTTCACCTTGGCGATGCGCGCTCGCAGATAGCTCCGGACGAGGAACTTGTAGCGCTCGAGTTCGGTCTGGATGACAATGAGGGCAAAGTTGGTCTTGGGATCCATGTCGCCCGTCATGTCTTCAATCTTTTCGATTTGCGCCTTGATCTGGTCATTGACGCGCTCAAACAGCCCGTCTGACGGCCAGCTAGAAGATACGAGCAAAAAAAAAACGTTAGCGCACCGCTGCAGTTCAAGACTGCCAAAAGGCAAGTCAAGGGGTTCGAAGCCAGAGCGTGGGAAGAAGACAAGAGTCTCCGTGTTGCCGCACATTTACTTACGCCAGGAGCTCCGGCGCAGACCGCTCTGCTACCCATCGACGCGTCAGAGCCTGCAGGTCGCGCGTCTGGCGGGGGATGTGGTACGTCTGGGGGTCGACCTCGCGCAGGATATCGTCTATGTCCATGCTGCGCGGCTTGGCGTGCGGCCGCCCTCGTGATGCTGCAGCGGGTGCCTCGTCTACTTGTTCCAATCGCCAAATGCTCTGCAAAGATGGACAAAGTGCAAAATGGTGTATAGGTTGGGTAGTTGGCGTCGCGAGGGGTTGGTGGGGTCTCTCAGCCAAGTGGGAGGAGCGCTCTGACAGCGTGGGACGTCATGGCTACCGCGTCGGAAGAGGGAAAGCACAAAGTTACAATATTTGGGGGAAAAACCATGATCGAGGAAAAAAGGTCGGATTGGGCAATGAAAAGCCCGGCAGAGAATCAAGGTGTCAAGTTTGATTTGTGAGCGACAACGGTTACCTGCAACAACTTGCGTCAACTGGTGGGACGCCACTGTCAGTGTCATTACCGCAGCCCACGGCGGCGCCGGTCCTTATTAGGTGAGTTAATACCTGTGACCGGGAGCAAAGCCACAGAAGAAATGAAAACAGCCACATGGTACAAGTTTGAAGGAATTCACAGCATAATTTGAAGCCTCCAAGGTCGCTGGAGGCACGAGCAGAAACACGGCCGCACCTGCTCGAAATCATACCGCCTCTTGCTATCAAGTACATGGTAGCTATTATAACGAAACAAGACTATACATGTTAATGTAATGCTAGTTTTCAGCATGTGTGTCTGCAATGTAAAATTGCACGTATCCCTGGGGTTCCTCCCGGATGACGTGAAATTTAGGCACCACTTAAATGCATCACTGTGCCTAGCGGACCTACGGTGCACTATTAATACCCACTTTTATATTATTACTCTTTAGTTTTAAATTTTAGAAAACTAAAAAGCTTTAAATATAATTCGACTACTATACCTTACTACTAAAACTATATTACTATATCTTATATAAATATTATTAAATCTAAAGCTTAAATGATTAAGAGTCTAATACTTTAAAATAATACTTTTTATAATAATCTTATAGTATTTTTATATATATTACTTAAGTTATAATTATAGTAAATATTAAAAACTATTTAACTAGTTTATATTTTAAGTTATAAGTTTATATTTTATTATATTATTATTAAATTATTTTATTTATAATAATATAGTTAATAAGTAAGTTACGTAATAA